TTAATATACACTAAAAATTGGTTTCAACCACAGAAAAGGGGAGAGAGAGTTGCAAGTAGTAGCATATTAGGTAAAATTCAGCACAGTTCTATATATCAGCAAAGTCCTGCAATAATGATGGTCATCAAAATGTTTTAACCATGTTTGTTTGGTGCACTATGCAGTCTACAGTAGGTTCAACAGGTTATACTATGACTACAGATATTTTGATATATAAAAAAATCAATTTTCTGGTTTTAATTGTATGTCCTTAGAACATTTTTGTTTGTGTTTAGTGCAGGGCAGAGGTAAACCATTATAGAATCAGTATCACAATTACACTGGATTTTTGGCAAAGTTGCACAACCCTACTTTAAAATGTCCAATTTTAAAACATTCAATATAGTAATATTGATATATTAAGACACATCCAATATTTGACTTATTGTTGTTTCCTCAAATTATAATGAATGCATATTTTTAAACAAACAATTTTTGTAAAACTTAAATGAAATGCATCTTCTTTATAAGTTGATTCTAACAGGTCTTAGTATAATGATTAAGAAGCAGCTCTATCTTTTAACAATGCATTAAAATTGTTTTCCCTATTATAGATTCTTATATAATTGAAAGAATGTCAATTATTCAGCTTAATTTTTTTTAAAGAATTAAATTGAATGATAGATGGATGTTAACATCTGGTGTTTGAATTTAACTCCAACACAAGCATGTTAGTGTATATACATTCCTGGTCCTTAGAAATTGATAGAGAGTCTTTTTGTTTGCAGACTCTTCAGTGTTGTTTTAGAATTCTTGACCAAAGATGACAAAGGAGAAGGTGAAGGAGCCAGTAGCCATCCGTCTGTGCATGGCCATGGGGGTAAGCCCGGTGGATTTGATGTTAAAGCCCTTCGAGCCTTCCGTGTGCTGCGACCCCTGCGGCTGGTCTCAGGAGTACCCAGTAAGTGGATCAGTGCAATATTTTTTCCCTGATTTTCTAGTGTTAAACATGCATAAATACAATTTACACTGAACATAGAGTTGCACTGATAAAAATTTTGTATCTGAAGTTTTATCAGCATAACAGTGTACTGTGGATTCAGTTGCATGATACAGTTAAATCTTTTCTTAACCTGCCCCCTTTATCCCTTACCCCCAAGAGTTTAACTCTTCACAGTAACAGATCATGTATTTTTTGACCATATTCTTGCCATGTGCTAATTTTCATTTGTGCTAAGGTTTACAGGTGGTGTTGAACTCCATCATTAAAGCCATGGTTCCTCTGCTGCACATCGCCCTCCTTGTCCTGTTTGTTATCATCATCTATGCTATTATTGGCCTGGAGCTTTTCATCGGTAAAATGCATGCCACCTGCTACATAGCCGGCACAGGTGAGAACTGTTAATTTTTAAAAACCTTTTTTAGATAATATAGCACTTTAGATTTTTTTCTGCTCTCCTTATCAAAAAATATCTCTGTAAAGTTTTCTGTGCACTTGTTTCAGCAGCTGACTGAAAGATAAGAGTGATAATGTGTCTTATCTAGGCTTGGCAATATTGCCTTAAAATCTTACAATGATATTTTGTGGTACTTTATTTTGATAGCAATAAAGACCATAAAAATAATTTCCATTACTTCTTTGAAGTTGTATGTAACTTTTAAAATATATATATTATATTTAAAATAGGTTTCTTCAGGATATTTGTTAGATAGAGAGGTGTGATCTACATCATATTCATGTTCTTTACATTTGCCAATGCCTCAAATGAAATCAAAGAAGAAAAAGATAAAAAAATAAATAAATAAAATGCGAAATTTACCCTTGTTTTGAGTTTTTAACATCTATAAAGTTCTAATAAAATTGGAATTTTTATATTATTGTGACTAGAACATTGTCCACAGAAGGATAAATGCCCATCCTATCTTACCTGTTCTTAAATTTCTGTAGATTCTTGTATTATAAATTGAAATGTTTCAGCGTTCTTTAAGTTTAGGGACAATAACTGCTTAAGGGCCTTTTTATTTTGAAGTTTAAGCTTACGTGGTTAAATCAAACCGAAAAATATGGTTACTTGCAGTTAAAGCATGTTTTGACAAAAGTCAAGGTGTATTTAGGTTGTTCCTTGGATAGCTTAGCATTTAAATGCTACTTTTACATTTACTTCTATTATATCTTTCATATTAGAATGTTTTAATGATTATATGAAACTTTTAAGTGTAATAAAATAGCAATAACAAGATAAAACTGTATTGGCGAAGAACATTTTCACAGTGATGTTAGTTAAAGAATTTACTCTTCAGCATTAACATTTTACTAAAAATCTAACTGTGTTTCTCAAAACTATTTGTATTCCCATTAGGTGGTTTTAATAGGTAATAGGGAGACAAATACACAGAAATATTAAACAACACTGAAAAAAAAAACATTGTTTAGTAACTGTGTTTTAAAATATAATTTTGTGAATCGGAATGATACTTAACCCATTCTGTTGGATTAGCCTTTCTGATGCTAAATTCAAGATGAGTCTAGAAATTAGACCTGTAAAAACAGCCTGATGATTAATGGTATTCTTCTGTAGATTTGATAGCCGAGGACGAACCAGCTCCCTGTGCGATCTCAGGGCACGGGCGCCAATGCCCCATCAACGGCACACACTGCAGAGAAGGCTGGCATGGCCCCAACGGGGGCATCACCAACTTTGACAATTTTCTCTTTGCTATGTTGACGGTGTTTCAGTGCATCACTATGGAGGGCTGGACTGACGTGCTGTACTGGGTGAGTACTGCTATGGCCTCACATTTTAATAACCTGTGACTGACTCATGCCTTCAGCTTTAGTGAATCTTCAACAAGAGTGATGTGAGTGACAATGTGATGATGAAGCTGCTGATCATTTCCTGAGGCAGCTTTTATTGTGCATGATAATGATTGATTGGCTAAATGACTTTGCACATTCATCAACCTTTAAAATGAATACTGGATGGCACTATTGGAATTCTAAACGGCCTGTTTTAAATGAGACATTCAATTTGTAGTTTTCTCAAGCTAGAACAATGTTCAACAATTATTAAGTACAATGTGTTATTTATGCAGTTACTCACCAGTTATTTAATTATTTTATCCTCTATGCCAGCACAGGCATGGAGGTACTGACAGCGGTTTTACACAGGATCTCACCAGATGTCATGTTAGTGGAAAAGTTTTTAACACCCATTTGAATATTAAAATCAGAAAGGAATATTAAGGTGCTTGCAACAAAAATTTAAGCTGTTAAGCTAAGGTGCTTGCTGAGGTAATATTTTCCTACAAAAATACAAAAAACAAATGAAGAGGGTCTCAGGTCTTAATGTAAACCTTTTCTATTGCATAAATGTAATACATATATTTTTTTATAGTTTAAGTGGTGTTGCAGATGTTAGTTTTCCTAATTTATGCTTAAAGGAAGTCTTCATTCATCTTGATCTTAGCAAGCACAAAATAAGCTTAAATCAGAGGCAACCAAACTTTTTCTCCGTTTTCTGAAAACATTTTGACCTACAGTTGTGCTGGAAAGTTTACATGCCCTCTCATGAGAAAAAAAAAGAAGATAATTTCACACTAGTAATTCAAATAACACAAAACTGGAAAAAGCAATAATAACTGATAATTTAGCTAAATAAATGATTGATTTTGAATTTTTCTTGAAGAAATAATTCCAAAAAAACAACTTGTGCCAGATTTTGGTATAAGTTCAAAGTAAGAGTTTTATATACAATTTTTATATGCAAAAACCCCAATTACAAGAGATTACAAAATAGCCTAAGAAAAAACACTGTTAATGTTAAAGTATGCTCATAATAAAATCCCTGATATCAGCTTAACCAATAGAAATAATTTTAGTAGCCCTCATTGGTCCAAACATTGGAAAATGTGTCTTATTTCACATCATACACTGAGAGAACAAACATGATTCTTTTTATGATGTATGTACATTTCTGCTTTAGGCTGAAAATTAAAGTTCGAAAAAAATTCAGATTTTATGCTGCTTTATTATTCCTTAATTAAAAGATTTAGATATTTCTTCAGCTCGTAATCTCTGTTAGTAACCCACTCAATTATACTGGTGTGATTACTCATTGATTGATGTAATTTATTCAAAACTTCTGATGCAAACAATAAAGTAGATCAACATAATGAGGAAATAACTAAGACAAACTGATTTGGATTTCACTCTGGAATTGCACTTTGATTTAAAGCACTGTAGAGGGTGGATGCATAAAAGATGGAGACTGATAGATTCCACTCTGAGCTGGGTTTCCTCTGAAACAGGAATCTGCTAAACTGAAATAGAAAATCTTAAATTGATCTCTGAAGGAGAAATTCTCAAACAGCTACAGACAATGTGCAGAACTTTGAGCTTGGGTTCAGGAAAAGTAGTTATTTCATCATCTGTGTTTTCTAGAAAGCAGACCCCCCCACCCCCCTGCTTTATAATGTGTCCTTTAAGACAACTGACTTTTGTACATTTTTCATCTTAGTTCTGTCTTTACTGCTTATTTTACTCTATTTTTCCTCTTCTCTCTCTTCTTCTTTTCCTTTGCTTGCTTCTCTAGATGAACGATGCTATGGGTTTTGAGCTTCCATGGGTTTACTTTGTCAGTCTTGTGATCTTCGGCTCCTTTTTCGTTCTTAACCTGGTTTTGGGTGTGTTGAGTGGGTAAGGACCTCTTTTCTCTTTAAAGACAGAGGCTTCCTGCTTCTTTACGGGCTGGAGGTTCTCTGTTTTTGTTTGTGTCTGTGTCATTTAACAAGCTGCTTTCGGCTCCTGTAGGTCAATGATGCCATCGGATGGGAAACTCCGTGGATTTATTTTGTCAGCCTGATTATACTGGGTTCCTTTTTCGTTTTAAACCTTGTGTTAGGTGTGCTGAGTGGGTAAGAGGCAACTTGTGCAGTGGATTTGGCCTGCAGTGTGGATGTTTTTCTGTGTTTAAAAATGGTGGTAGATAATAAATCTGAACTGGCAATCTTACCTTGACACAAATATACAGCTGCGTCTCAGTTATAGAAATGAAATTCCAAAAGCTAAATTATTAGACAAATATGATATGGATTAAATAAACACTGATTTATTTGAAATACTTATTTATGATCCCTGATTATAACTACAGCTATTAAAAATGAATAGTCACCTTCCTAAAATCAGAGAATCACTTAATATCAATAAGAACATATTTTTGATACAGAAAGGTTGAGCTGCTATAAAGTATGTTCATATACAGCAATGCACACTATATTCACATGATAATTAGTTGGGACTCTTTCTGCAAAAATAATTCATCAATGCAGTGTGGCATGGAAGCACTGTGACATGTGGCAGCATGTGGCAATGCAGTGTTAAAGACTCCCAGGCTGCTTCAGCACCAACATTTACTGTCCGAGGGCTCTCATTTTTCCTTTTTATTTTATTGTAAAGGTGCTCTATGGGATTTGGGTCAGTTCAGTTTGCTGAATATTTAAGAACACTTACCTACTGAGAATGTTATTTACCACCATTTTATATATATTTTTTCCATTGGGTGAACATTAAATTAGTTATTGTGAAAGTTCATTTTATTTTAGTGTAGTCATATAGCACTAATTGACAACAGATGTCATTTGGAGGCACTTGACAGAGGCAGCTGTAGCTGTTGTCCTGCATTATGATTCTTGAAACACTGAATGTAACCACAGCCCACACCTTATGAATCCACCTCAAACTCTTGGAAGGGTTTACTTCAGCCTCACTATTCTTGTCACTGTGCATTTCTACCAATTTTTTCCGATCCCCTGACTTTTGCATTGATATTACACCGATGTGAGCATTTTTAGCAGCAATATTGACTGTGGTCTGGTGAATATTTAAGTCATTATTCCTGTTCATGATAATATACGGTTATGAAGAGGTGATTTCTGCATTAAAGTGTTTTAAGAAAGTTAAATGTTTTCATGAGATTTTAGACTCCTGCCTGCCTTATCACTTAACGATAAAGAACTCCGTGATAATAATAGAAAATATACTTCAATTAAAGCGATAATTTTCAAATATAATGATGTGCACAGCCTTTTTGAAACTTAAAGGACATTCATGACTTTAACTCTGAACTACAGATGTTCTACATTTTAACTCCGACCACTGAAATATATCTCATTTTGATTTCCTTTGTGACTTCTTTTTTACATGAATTTACATTTATCTCTAAAATTATACTTACTTTATGTAATAGAGAAGAACTTCAGTTCTTTTCTTTGGTATTAATTAAATTTTTGCTTTGTACATTAATTGCATTATTCAATAGTATACAAGACCTTTAAATTTCATTATATTTGAATTTATAAATAGTGGATTAGTGTGGTCACAAAATCCTGCTTTATTTGTAACAAATATGACTCTTTTTTGTTGCAACATGATCTTTTCCATTATAGTTTTTTTAAGTTTTGTTTCCCATTATTCTACATGGTATGTTAAATAATCTGTATCAGGCAGCAATACAGTAAATCCAAACCTTTAAAATTAAGCATACTGTATTCTTCGTTTTAGGTAAAATTGCTAATGACTTTTTCCTTTGAAATATTCTATATGCCGTTTCCAGCTCAATTTATAATTAATTACTACTCCGAGAAATTTTGTCTCCCAAACTCTTTTGATTTCAACATCCCAAATCTTTAGACATATGCCAGTATTACTGTTTTTGTTTCTAAATACCATACATTTTGATTTATCAACATTAAGTGGTGATTTATTTATCTGTAATATATTTGTTACACTTTGTAGCTAGCTATTGAAATTTGTCTTTGACAACTATATTGTGAACATTTCACCCTTCAGCCTATCCCAAACACAGTCATCCTTCTGCGGGAAAAATTAATCATATTCCTCGCTCTTCACTCCCTCTGTGCTCCTAAGCCCTCTCAAACCCCAGTTTGCTTTCTGAGCTCTGCAGAGCGGGGCTGGGTGTTACAGTCAATTTAACTCTGGCTTGTTGAACGGAAGGAAGGAATCAAGGAAGGAAAGTTTATTTTTCCGTTTTTTTTAGAAAGCCATTAAGTTTCACAAAGCTGTCACATCAGATTCACCTCTAGTTTCTGTTGATCGTTTTAAATTGATGTCATCTGTTAACCTCAGTTTTTTCTTCTTTGAATTTAACGATTTCTCCCTTCTTTGAATCTTCCTCACCACTGAGCAAATTTCCTGTTCTGTTTGGCGTTTTAGATTGTTGCATAATTAGTATGTATTTGGTTCAGTCATTGTATCATAATTAATGTGTCTTTATCTTAGTATAAACATTTAATCCCCTTATTTATTTCACTATCAAATTCACATAAAAAGGGATTTAAGGGAAATTTTGCATGTCTTCATAAAACCAACTGCCTGCAGATATTACCTTTTCTCTATGATAAAGATGCTCGCCTCAAGGATATGCTACTGTACTGCTGGACTCTATTTATAGCATTTGACAGTTTCTGCATTGTGCACATCTCCCTCCAGTGGCAAGAGTTCAGAAAAACACAGACACTAAATATATGGCCATACCACAGAAAAGAACCAGAGATTAAAATGGTAAAATTTAATCCTAAATTACTGAGCTATTCTTTTTGTATAGGAGAGTCTGTCCTGTTTGCTGTGAATGGTTTTAAATTTGTGTTTGCATTAAGTTTGCACATTGTTGTACGTGTAGGTGTTTGCATTGTTTATGATTACTGCTTAAATTGCAGAGAGTTCTCCAAGGAGAGGGAAAAAGCTAAAGCTCGAGGAGACTTCCAGAAGCTGCGTGAGAAGCAGCAGCTGGAAGAGGACCTGAAGGGCTACCTGGACTGGATCACTCAGGCTGAAGATATCGACCCTGACAACGAGGACGAAGCTGAGGATGGGAGCAAGAGGAACCGTAAGCAAACAACCCCCACTTTCTCTCTCTAACAAGAAGCACAAGCTGCTGTTTTCGGATCATGAAGGAAAATATTCAGCAGCTTTGTTTTTTTTGTTCGCTTGAATGCTTTTGGCTTCAGCTGCTGATTAGCACATTTCATGGTGACCAGATAAACTTGTTGCACTGAAAGCTACTGGCAAATTAGGCGCTTTAAACACAACATATCAAATAAACAAAAAATTACACTCAACGTAAACAAAAAAGACCCTCAAGTACGGCAATGTTTGAATTTCATTACTAATTATACAATAGTAAATTCAATATGAATTTTTGCAGTAATACCTGCATATTTTAAAGAACTTAAGAAGATAGTTGTGTCTAAAATGAAACACAAAAAGCTACACTTCATAACCGTCATAGTTGCTGAAATAATTGTTTTACAACCACAAAATGTATATGTTCAATTACATCATGTAACTGCATCATTACTGCATCATTACAGTTTCACAGTATTCACTCCATACTGCCTAAATCAGAGCTTGGATTTTTTTTTTCTTGTTCCTGCTCAATTGCAAGAGCTCCACTTTGCATACCAGATTATCTTTTAAAACTTTTTAATCCAAAAAATGTGTTTTGTTTGTGATCAAATTAAAAAGAGGCACCATTATCCTGATTGCAGGTTTGGTTAATCCTTGTAATACTCACATTTTGCATGAACTTGCTAATATTGGTTGAGTAGAAACAGCAGGTGGATCAAATTTTAATTAAATCAAACCTTGTGTAAAAGTTCTCTAAATGGATATAAAGGCTGGAAATTTTCAGTTTTCCCAAATACATGTTACTGAAAATGGAACATGTATTAACTGAGATATCAAAATATTTTTAGCGGTAATTTGCATATTTTGACGTGGTAAGGTTTGGTAAGTTTTTATAAGGAGCCAATTTCCTAATTGTAGTCAACAGCACAGTTTTTTGCTCCAATATTCATCTTCATGCAGCTTTAAGTGTGGGTCGGGAATCTATGGGTCCCAGCAGCTAACATGTGTGCATGTTAGCCCAGGTCCTCATCACTTTCAGATGCTTCCTGTGACTAACTGCTCTCCATTGTTGTTCTTCTGCCCTACTCAGTGTCTGCAATCCAGTGTGACTCCTGCTGCTTTTGTTATTGTTGGATATTGACACTTTGAATACTGTTGTTGTCTTGTGATGGCTTGTGTGCTCTGACCCATTTTGATAGTAGTCCATTCTCGCCCTCTCCCCTGCCCCCCATATCCCTCTGCTGTGCCGTTGTGTGTGAATGCATGGGGGCTTGCATGCATTGCACATGAAGGGGTGACTCTGGCTGACCTCACTGAGAAGAAGAAAGGAAGGTTTGGGTGGTTCAGCCAGTCGTCTGACACTCATGGTAAATCCTGTGGTTCTCCCTTTAGTGTACTTAAGCTTTAGTTTGTGTTTGTGTCCACATACTCTATGTGTTGTTTGGATCACATTTTGCAAATAAATAACTTTGATAATAATTAATCAAACTTTGAGGAATGGGTTGTTTTTCAGAATATGTTGAAGTACTTAATGTTTTCTCTATTAATTTCACCAAGTCGTATCTTTAATATTAAGAGTGAGTGAAAATTGTTTTTAAAGAATATCAAAATATTTCTTTAATGAATTTATTTCTTTTTTCTTGCATCTCAGACAGCTCAAAGACAGCTCAAAGTATATTAAAGTCAAAACTAAATATGATTTAAAATTACAATTTTATATACTACTCTGAACTACACTTTTCTAAAACTAACCTTTAAGGAATGTGGGGTTTGCTTTCCATTTTTTTTTTATATAAGGGAACTGGATACTATACCCTTTTTATTTATTTATGTACATTTAATTAACTTTCTTGATACGTATTTGTACATACATGCTGTAAATTGAACAACTAAAATCCTTATTCATAATCAGGTGGAACAAACTGTAATTTCATTCCCTAAGAGATGTTGCCTTTGGTAAAAACTTAAATCCTTAAGAACAAACGTGGCTGATATTACACTTGCCACTGTATCTCGCTGTTCCTTATGAGAAAAGCAGTCAGAGAAAATTAGACAATATCATTCATTTTACAGTGAAGGACAATCTTGCAGCAAAAGGCCTTTGAGATAAAAAAACAAACAAACTGAAAACTGCACTGCATTGTAATATAGTTTACCTATCTTTACCCTTTTACTGAAAATGTGTCTTTGTAAAACAAATTTAGGTGTTTAAACACTGAAGCTCCAAACTTAGCTCCTAAAAATTAAAACTGGCAACACTTACTGTGTAGATTACAATGCATCAATTTCATTATAACACTTTTAGCTTTGACCTTGAGGCTGATTTATCTTAAGGGAACTTTAATATAGAGCTATCTTAGAACAACAGAAAAATATATCCATCTTATTGTAGCGGTAACACCATTGAGAATAATTTCTGAAAACAGGGATCTTCTAGTGTTTAAAAAAGAAAGACAGAATGGTGACACTTGACATTTAAGCAGTATCGATATCATATATTACTGAGTAGCACTGCAATGTGGCTAGAATAAAAAAATATATGTTTTTGTTTTTTTGATGACTTTTTACTGTAAAAGAGATTTTTAGAAAACAACATATCCACAAACAGACAGAAAAAGCCTTTGTAAAGCTTCATGTTATTTGTTAAGTGTGTCATTTTCACAAAGCCTAATTAAACCCCAGACAGGATGTAGATATGTTGTAGAACATTCTCTACTTGTGCTTTCTCTGACTCTCTTTAACTCATTAATGGGGAAGAAAATATTTACTATGTCTATTTTATTTATTAACCTCATAGATTGTGGAAAAACATATTAGCTTGGTGCATAATCTGATTGGGAATAGATTTTATTTTTTAGTTTCCAGCAGTGTAATACACAGTCAAGACTTTTCAAGATGAAAATGATTGTATTAAAGTCTTTTCTTTTTCTTGTTCTATGTTTACTAATAATATTATTATATAGGATTGGTGCAATGCAAGTTTGTGAATATGACATCACTCTCTTACCTAATAACATGTACTTCTCTCCTGTGCACTGGTCGAAAAATCCTTTCTGTTATAATAAAAACCTTACATGTTTGCCAATAAATAAGATTTGATTCGCTGGTAAAAAAAAAAATGGCTGTGCATGGGGCAGCCACTTAACATACTTAACTCCCTATGCCCTAGTTTAAAAGCAGAAGTCTGAATATGGGAAACGGGGCTAAACCCAGATCACGACTCCAGCAGTCAGCACTGTTTTCAGAGCTGAAAGCTGTTTGAAAGCTCAGGAATCAAAGACAACTTGTCCACATAAACCCAGCAGAAACACGCTCCCTTACCTGAATTTAAGAACTGAGTAGTTGCACACCACTTATCATCGAGTGTTGCAAGAGCAGTGTTTCAAAGACAAGGAATAGGAGTTCTGACCTGCTCTCTCTGATGTTTTCTATATTCTTTTTAGTGTTAGTTGTCCCTGGTATGACAGCTGTAAAATTGACTGCATTGTCACTGCCTTACATCATCTTCAGGAAGATCTTGACAATAACAACACAGCTGCACCTTTTTCTAGCTTTAGTGTTTGATTGCAGCACAACCAGAAAAGTCTGACTGTCTTGAAGGTTCAGCAGCCAACTTAAACTTTTCTGATTTTCTTTAAAGCAGACTATTTATAGGGACTGTGAATGTAATGTTAGCAGCCCAACGCATTGTGGGAACATTGGACACAGAGGCTTTAGAGGCAGGCTAGGCGGAGCCCTGCAGTTTTGTCTTGATTATATTGCATAAGAAATTATAAATGCTGAATGATTATTGCATTTTTAACTGCCACAGTTGCTCTCATAAGTGAAATAGTTTGCCACTGCAGTGCAAGCATAAGAGCATCACTGTGTAACACAGCTGGTCAGGCCAAAGAGATGTCATGTTGCAAGGATTGAAGCTGTAAGATGACCAAAAATGATCTATACAGATATTCCTGCTGACTACTCATATGTGCAGTGCCTCACTTAACAAAAAAGCAAATGAAAAAATCGAAAAAACTGAACTCTGGCAGCTTTTTATGATAATTTCTCCCCTTACGATGCTGATATAGATGAAGCTGATTTACAAACTATAGGTAGTAGGATATAAGTTCTTTGTTTGTGTCCGGAATCCAGCATTAGTGGGACATTGTCTCTTTGGGAAGTGGGTCCTTTGTGAGTGGTGTAGCATATCCAGAGGAAGACAACATGCATTGTGATGTTAATTAACAATCCTTATGAATAACATAGATTAAGAATTTTATCATCATCTTTTTGGATACACATGCTTATGAGTTATTAAGTGTTAATGATTGTTCTGTGTGCTGCTGCAGCGAGCGTCCCAGCCAGTGAAACAGAATCTGTGAACACTGAGAACCAGAATGGCGAGGAGGAAAAGACACCCTGCTGTGGACCTTTGTGGTCTGTACAGAACAACAAACCTCTCATATAAACTAAATGCTAGTCCATAGTGCTTTTAAACCTTAAAATAATCCCTTGGTGTTTCTAAAATACTTTATCATTTATTTTCTTCTTCTTTCAGTCAAAAAATCTCAAAGTCAAAGTTCAGGTCAGTATATCTGTCAGGATGCATCTTCTAGTGTGAAAAGGAAGTACAAGTTGTATTATTGTATTCCACTATAAGTCTGTTTCTGGCTTTTGTCTTTATACATAACATTTTCATTTTTTTTTTTTTCTGGGCATGATAAATTAGCAGTTTTTGTAAGGTCAGCATGTACCATAAAGTATTTTTATAGAAAAGCCTTACTCAGTGTTTTAAGCTCTTGCTGTTCAGTAGGACTTGCAAAATTCTACTCACACAGTTCCCCTGAGGCTTGGACTGTAGTATGAAGACTGCATTGTGTGTTTTTTCTTAAGTTTATATTTATCATACTCTCTCCTTGTAGTCGGCGCTGGCGCCGCTGGAACCGGTTCTGCCGCAGGAAGTGCCGTTTGGCTGTAAAGTCGGTACCTTTTTATTGGTTGGTCATCATCCTGGTGTTCCTCAACACGCTCACCATCTCATCAGAGCATTACAACCAGCCTATGTGGCTGACACAAGTGCAGGGTATGATCAAAACACTCAGATACATCAGTTAACTAAAAAAGACTGTGTCACAACAAGAACTATTTGTTCACATATGTTAAACTCAAGGCCACTCACAGCATCTGGCCTCCAGGAGCCAAAAAAAGCTAAGTAGCTAAAACTGTGAAATAAAGGGGAGTTAAAGATGTAAACCCAGACTAATGTGCTTTTTGTAAAAGTAATGATAAAGACAAAAGTCACATTTATTCAGCTGAAACTGGCCCTGTTAAAGACTCAATGATAAAAAAGTGGCTTGAATATAAAAACTCAGATTGACTTTCTCTTTATCGTAAGGTATGGTACATTTAATCCAGCACTTCTGATGCAACTTGGATTTTTTTCCAATTTTTAGAAAATAATAAATCAAAGTTTACCAATCAAATTGCTAATTACTTATGCCTTTTAAGAGGAATTGCAGTAGCTTTGCTCTTTAGATTTACACTGTTTAATTTGTAATATTTTTAAAACATACTAAATGGCTACACTGAACTCACTGTTCATCCACATTTTTTCCTTGCTATTTTGTCTGTTCGCCTGTTTCCTTTGTTCTTCCTTATCTCACGGAAAAGTGTGATTTCTATATTTTTCTTTGACTTCAATGATAAAAAAATAAATACAATAAATTAGGTAAGATAAGGAGAACAAAAGACAAATACTTTTATCTCTGCATTTCAGATGTGGCAAACAAGGTGCTCCTGGCCCTCTTCACATGTGAAATGTTGGTGAAGATGTACAGTTTGGGACTACAGGCCTATTTTGTGTCGTTGTTCAACCGCTTCGACTGCTTTGTGGTGTGCGGAGGAATCACTGAAACCATTCTTGTCGAACTAGAAATCATGTCTCCTCTTGGTATTTCTGTGTTCCGCTGTGTCCGTCTGCTGAGGATCTTTAAGGTCACACGGTGAGTTTCTTTTCTCACTTCATGTTTGTTAGTGTATCTCCTCTCTTAGCAGGTTATTGATTCAATTAACCTCTTGTTTCCATTGGATTTTATAGGCACTGGCAGTCTCTGAGTAACCTGGTGGCATCCCTGCTTAACTCCATGAAGTCCATTGCTTCCCTGCTGCTGCTCCTTTTCCTTTTTATCATCATCTTCTCCCTGCTGGGAATGCAGGTGTTTGGTGGAAAGTTCAACTTTGACGAAACCCAGACAAAGAGAAGCACGTTTGACAACTTTCCCCAAGCCCTTCTCACTGTGTTTCAGGTATTTCTTTCTCCTATTTAGTTTATCTAACAAGAACAAGCTTACTGATATTTTTTCAAGTTGAGCCTGGATAACAGAAGCAATATGAACAAGACTCTACATCTAAACACTTAAAATATATGATGCTGTTTTGTTTTTATTCTTAAAGAATTTCACAAAATAGAATCAGATATTTCAGCATCGATGTTCTTGAGATTGTCTTCAATGTTCCGCATTACAGATCATATTCTTAATTTTCTACCATCTTTTTAAACGCTATAACCAATCCATTTAGGTTGTCTTTTTTCTGTGGACTTTAGTACTGACAAGTATAAAATGTCTGCTTCAGGCTAAGGAAAACTTGAAAGATCAGATATTGAAGTCGCACAGCGTTCAGAAATGTTTCAAACTCTAAATGTTTAACTCATTATTGATAGTTTCAGATATGTCGTACTACACTGCCTTGCAAAGGTGTTACAAAATTTTTTCACTTTTCCGTTTTGCTTGATCTTTTCTTCAAAGGGGCATAGTCACAATATTTGACTTTTTTTTAATTTATACACCAGTAATCACTCTGGTTGCATGCAGACCTTTTTTCTAAAAGATTACCATGTGCTGCTTCAACGTTATTTGTTAAGCTTGTGTTTTACCCTTTTGACTCGGTTTATTAATAAATACAGCCCTTCGTGTACATTTAACTACTACATATAAATACTGCATGTGTGCAGGGGGTAAAGAAGCAGTAGCCTATTACCACTATACCCATTAGCATCTCCCAACTAGGTGTGGAAACAATAAAGGAAAGTCTGAGCTCCAATGTAAAAAAAAAAGAAAAAAAAAGGCATTAAGATGTGGCTACTAAGTTAATGGATGTGTGAATAAATATCCTTACTTATTCTGAAATTATTGATATTATAGAATGATATTCTTAGTCTCTAAAATCAAATTAAAAAACAATATTATAAATAGATAGATTCTTTCCTTGATACTGTGTCCCAGTTTTTTTTCCTCGAGGTTCTGATAGGAGGCTCTGGGAGCATGGGCTAGAAGCTAGAGTTGCTTTAGATTAGATTCCATTGATATATTTGTCTTCAACCATGTTTAGCTGCTGCTTTACAGGACTGCATTGCAGAATAGTTGGACTTTATTTAGTAGTTGCCATTTGGCTTTCTGATAGTCTGCTGTGTTGTTTATGTCTTTTCCTTTTGCCCAGTGATGGGATTCTTTTTAGGCTCTAAAGGACTATCAAAACATTACCAAGACGGATTCTTGGTGTATAAAAACTTATCATGATCAAATGTTTGGTGTTTTTGTGTGTGTGTTTTTTGGTATAGGCATATAAAGTGATGATGCACCCTTAAAATTTTCCATATTTTGAAGATTTTAAAGAGAAAAAGATCAGAGGGCTTTCCATTTTGTTTTCCTGCTTAATTTCTTTCTTTCCAAACTTTGGATTTCTCATAAACTACTATGTTTTTTCTAGATCTTGACCGGAGAAGACTGGAACGCTGTAATGTATGACGGCATCATGGCGTACGGAGGCCCCTCCTCCTCTGGGATGATCGTGTGTTTTTACTTTATCATTCTCTTCATATGTGGAAACTGTATCCTGACTCATTCTGGCACTCCTCTGGCTGATATGTGGTTCTAAACACTGCAAATTGTTTGTAATCTTTGCTCTCAAATCAGGTTATTCTTTCCTGACATTAATGCTCAGATATCCTCCTAAATGTCTTTTTGGCCATTGCTGTGGACAACCTGGCAGATGCAGAGTCTCTCAACACAGATGAAGGAGATAAGAAGGGGTGAGAACTTAATCTTCCTGGTTCTGTGAAGCCTCATTTTTTTACTATTTTTTTTTTACTATATAGATAAATTCTTACAAAATGTACCTGTAACTTGTAGGGATAAGAAAGATGATGAAAAAGATGAAAAGGTATGGCCACATTTTTTTTACACTAAACAAAAATCAGATAAATCAGTGTATTGCTACTCATACACATTTTATTACCATTATTTTTTGTCTATCAGGAAGATGAGGATGAGGATAATGATGAAATTGGAGGATATGAAGAAGACCCAGAAGTCCCATCGGGTCCACGGCCAGTCATCGCTGACCTGGTGAAGAAGGAAAAGATCATTCCGATCCCAGAGGGAAGTGCCTTCTTCATCTTCAGTAACACGAACCCGTAAGACGCATTTTATCATAAGTGAATAGATATATTTTCAAATATTTTAATAATGCCCATAAAAGCAGATCATGTTTTAGGAACGATCACATCAAATTCACTACACACAAAGAATCATAAAATGCAAGCAAAGAAAATTTTACTGTCCTAAAATTTAAATGGAGAACATACATTTGCATTCCATATACATTTCAGCATTGTTTTATTGATGGGAGAAAAGCTAATGAATAAACCTTCATCTCTTAACTCAAGCTTCTGTGCTTTTTTTCCAGACAGCAAGAAAGTGAGTAAAGCTAAATGGTTCATCTAACATCTTGGTGTTACATGTTTCTCCTTTTTTCCTTCCAGAGTTCGGGTGTTTTGTCATCAACTCATCAATCACCACATATTTACCAACCTCATCCTGGTGTTCATCATGCTGAGCTCTGTGTCGCTTGCTGCCGAAGACCCGATCCGGAACTTCTCCGCCCGAAACATTGTAAGTTCTCAAAGCTTTAACAAAAACATTTTGCCACAACTTAGACACGTTTAGAACAGGTCAGAAGAAGAAGAAGAAATCACTTGTAGGGAATAAATCTTATTTTGCACTCGTTTGTTTCCTCTAATGACCCCACTCTTGATTTTTGAACGTTTTAGCTCTTTGAGAGTGGAAGAACGATATCCTATTTTCTGAGTGCAAACACCTTTTTTATATAACAATATATTATAACCTGCAAATTTTATCAAATTAAGATTTGATAAATTGGTTATTTTTTGAAAAATTATGTCACAATAGCTGAAAGACCAGGCAGGGAAATTTAAGACACTAATAATCTTGCGTGAAGGCAACAGTATAGGTGCTGAATGCATTATACTGTAGACAGTAAGACTTGAAAAACACAGAATAATGTGTAACAAGATGGTTTATTCACTTCAAAGTTATCTATTAATTTGAAAACTGTCCTTTCTGTATTGTAATTAGGAAATTATCTCATATCATTCGACTAAAGATCCTTCAAGGAAGTCAATGCATGTTTTTTTAGCAACATTTGTACCAAATTAATCATAATGCTTTAAAGGTAAAAGGAAGTGCATTAGAAAAGAAAAAAAAACAATACATACACAATGTAAGTTGTACATTTAAGAACTGATTTTAAATGTATGCAGCATAGAACACTATTATTAAGATAATAATTTGAAATAATTATTAAATACCAAGGACCGATAAATTATACCATATAAATCTACTGTAAAGCTCAGAAGAATTACTTTTGTTCACAGTTAATGTTATGATTATCTTTTTAATAACCAAGAACATAAAACAAGAGCACAGTGAAAGAGGGAAGAAGGAGTATTTTACCTTCTTTCATGAGCTAAGTTAATGGTAACTGATTGATATTTGCTGAAAGCAGCACAGCATCACCTTAACTCTTCCACATTAATCCAAGTTATCATGCAGTTTAGTTTTTGTAAATGCACTGCAATTTGCAAAGCAGTACAATCACCAATGATTTTAGTAGCTGATTTATTCCTTCTCATGCATATTTTTTACTGGATTCATTAAACATTGTACTTGAAATGTGTGCATTTTGAATAATGTATAACTTTGAGACAAAAGCATTGACTGAAGTTTAACTCTAGTAAAACATCATGCAGTCAATACAAACTACCCGTCACCTCACTGTTGTTCAGTTGCACTAAGAGGGTTCAATAGATTTTTTTGAACAAAGCATCTAAAACAGTTTTACACAAACTATTTAACTTAGCTTTTAGGTAACTTAAGCTATATTATTCACAAATCCCAAGTCAACCCTAAACATCTGTGACATCTCAGACCATGTTTTTTTATACATCCGAGCACAGCAGGTTACTTCTTTGCCTTGCTTTTTTCCCCTGCAGCAAAACTTCAACAGCTTTCTGCAAAGACAAATATGTCTATGTGGTCTATGCTAAGTAAAATACTTATGCTACATTCACACTGGAGGAGCAGTGCCTCATGAGCTTCTGAGCATCTTAGGCGTGTGATGTGTTTCAAAAGCAGCAGCTGCTGGAGTTGGAAAAATTAAATTTTTGCTGTTTGATGCACCACAGCAACCAATTAGAGAAGCTGACCCGGGAGTTGGCAGGGAGACAGAAACCCCATGCAGATCGCTATGATCACTCCCCTAAAACAGTTTATTAATACCTACTTCAAATTTTGAAACCTGCCAACAAAATATGTTCGCTTTTATTATCCTGGTGCCAGCAGTTTGTACCACATACCTGAAAAACGCTAACATCTACTTCCAGTCACCACCAATATTAGGGGGAAAAAACCCCAAGAGGCGACTGTGTCTGAGGCAGCAGCTGCTGGGGATTCTCAGTTACAGCGCACCGCCGGTATATGGGGGGTCTGCGCGGCTCCGACAGCGAAATTATATTTAAGGCAGGATCGTAATTTTGATTGACTGACTGTACAGATTGTGTTTTTAAGTGTACTTTCTCACTTAAAAGTATATTAAAACTACTTTTTAACCAGTGATCACTCTAATATAGCAAAACTGCTCTCTGACATTGACTACAGGAGCAGCAGAAGCATCAGACGCATCTGTACGAACTTTACTGGATGTACTTCAGGAGCATCAAAAAATGGTCTACTGTAGAAACGCGTCTGACCTTAATGTATACAAGCATAAAAAATGAAGCAGCAGGTAGTTGTTTTTTTTATTTTTTTGCTGCTGAAATCACGTGTGAACGTAGTATTAGTCTTTGAGTCTTTGAGAACACCCAGTAAGTTACTGTCTTTAAAAATTATCCTATATTTACAGAACATTAAGGTTTTGCTTAGTTGAACTGCTGCAACATTTTCACATAAGCTTGTAAGGTTACACTCATGTTCTAAATTAATTTAGAATGCCTCATGTAATTAGGTCAAACTGGCCCACTTTTCATTTGATAGATCGAAGTAACCAACAGGGACTGGTGGAATTCATCTTGAATTAGGATAGAAGACTAAAAATAAAGATCAAATTCATTTACAGTACATTGTACTTGCTTTTCTGCTTGATGATGAACTGGTCAGTTTATTATCAGCAATGTTTCAAATCCATTAATCTAGAATAAACTTCTATGCATTTTTATTTTGCTGATGTACTACTGTTTTTCCCAAACTTTCCAAAGTTGGAAAGCACACAGTTGACAAGTGTTCCTGAAAAAGGATTTTTCAAAATGTGAGAAAATTAATAGGTGTTGGAGCTCCTTTTATTCCAAACTGAATACAACTCCCTGAAAACTGAGCTCATTTTTTTCTTTTATAGTGTAACTTCATGTCTTTTATGCAACTGATACTATAGACATGACATGTGGTCAATAACAAATCCAAGAACTTTTTCATCATATCCGGATATTTTTTAAGCACTAGAACTGAAATATATATGTCATATGTGCTGTATAGTTACAGCTTTAACTAAAGCATTACATTACTGAGTCTATATGGTGGAATATTATGCTATGGTGTGCAGACACTTTCTGCTCTGATTAAAATCACTTACCTTTACATGCCAAATGCTTCAAATGGCTGCAGTACAGCAGCATGTACTTGTAGGCTGTTAGAGACTATGTAGAACTTTTAGCCCAAGATCGTCTGGCCATTAGAAAATATTGAATAAAAAATGAATAATTTTCACACATGGAAATAGTAATAAAGATCCACCATCATCTGTAAAATATTAGGCCCTCCAAAATAACTTCTCCAGCAAATTCAGACATTTCTTGCTGTCCATCAGTTGTAAAGCTCTTTTTCAGGCACTGCTTATACTTTTTACTCCAAAAAAGTTCTGCAAACAAATGTATTTTGTCACAGTATTGCTCCAATTCCGGCAATGTGCTGTTTCACTATATTTTCCCCAGTTTTTTAATCTTATGGAACAACGTGTCTAAGTTTGTTTAAAAACTTAGAAAAAAATAATAGCTTTAAAAAAATCTCTTATGAGCTAAATCCAGCAAAAACTCCATTGTGGTCCGGTTTGTAAATTCACAGGTAGGAGATTTAATTCTTCCCCACTTTTTAATTCTTTTAACTGCCTTTGACCTCTAAACTTTTTTAAATAAGTCTTGGTATTACTTCTTTATTAATGCTTAAATATAGTCTCCTTTCTTTCACCTTGTTTTATTATGTATAAAGGTGCATGATGACCTGTCTTTGTTAAACATCTACATTGCTTTTTGCAGATACTTGGTTACTTTGACTATGCTTTCACCGCTATCTTTACTGTTGAGATCGTGTTAAAGGTAAATGCCCTGTGTCCCCTGTCTGTGCTGTCACTAACCTCATTCCAATAACACTCCAAACGTCTTGTTGCCTTTCCAGGTCCTAGGCTATGCAGATTATGTCTTCACTAGTATGTTTACATTTGAGATCGTATTGAAGGTAACCCTATAAAGTGACAGCGAGAGCCTTGCTGCATTCTCTCCTTGTGTGTCACCTGCCACTCAGTGCAACCTAGCTTGTTTGTTTCCTTTCTCTTATTTGCTTTTATTCTTCATGGCACCTCTTTTAAAAAGCAAACATATACTATTTTGGAACTTTTGGTTGCACACACTACGATTAACGCAAGATTTGTTAAAGCGAAGAGCTTCTAACGGGGGAAGGAAACATTACATGAACATAGCATTATATTCACTCACTTGGGTGTCACATCATTGGGGCAGTCATTGCTAACTGATTTTGGTGGAATGATGGAAAACATAATGCAATCTTTGTCTGCCATGCAAAATTTAATGGGCTGTTTCGTCATTTTCAAAGGCATTGGCTGAAGTTGAGGTCAGGGTTTGTGTTGTACCAGCATAAAGCCAGCTCCAGTCAAAGCTACCTAGCTCCATGCTTATCATACTGACTGCTCTTCAGAATAACCGTAAAAGAGGGGGCACCACCGACCATGTTCATGCCGAGCATGGTTCAGTCTGCTTTCCCTGATTGACTGCATATTAATGTGAAGTCACCTCTGCAGCTGTTAAGGCAAAAAAAATAATAATAATAAAATATCAAAACTTAACATCTTTTTGGCCTTTATATTCCTCAGTGCTCTTAGTTAGCAGTCATCTGTCTTGGCCTCTCTGCAGGGCTTCACATTTATGTGCTTGGAAAACATGTATTTTACTTTTATTATTTGAAGAAGAGTTATTTTGGCTGGTTTTCTTCTCTGCCTGCTGAACTGCAAAGTTTCAACTGGGAGCTGCCTCCAGTTTATTCTTAGCATTTAAAGAACATATCAGAATGTGCTTTAAGAGGACGGCCAACATGAATGTGACAGTAAGGTTATTTCCAATTTCCAATCACTATAAATAGAGCTCTTGCAAGGTTTGACTTCATGGCAACAAGGTGCATGTTTGATTGCCTCCTCCTATAGTGCATTGTGAAATAAATGACTTGCTACTACATTCATGTATGTAAAGGCCGTGGGGGTGGTGATGGTAGTTTTAGCTTTCCTGTTTCACTGCTATGAGCTCGCCACCCCAAATCAGAGTGATCTAAAAGAGTGTGTGTGTGTGTGTGTGTGTGTGAGTGTTGACTGCAAGATTCTGAGTGCTGAGAATATTCCTGTTTAAAATGTTTGTACTGGCTGTTTGAGTCATCTGAAGTGTAGAATGTAACACTATTTCTGTGTAAGACAAAACTGTATTTTTTTTTTTTTCATCTTTAATACGTCGTGTCCTTTCCTCAGATGACAACATATGGAGCTTTTCTCCATAAAGGAGCTTTCTGCAGGAATTACTTCAACCTCCTGGATCTCTTGGTGGTGGGGGTTTCGCTTGTCTCCTTTGGCATTCAGTGAGTACAAAAATAAAACTTTTATATCAAAGCAGTTTTAAAAGGAATCCAAGCCTTGTTTACAAGTCTCTCCCTGAACAGGTCCATTAGGACTCAGATTTCCTTGTGAGAAAAATATCACAAATTAAAATTCAGAATTCTGCGTAAAAAGGTCCGATTTCAATGAAGATTTCCAAATCCTGCATCCAAATGGCTGTGCAACACATACACTAAAATTAGCTAGTAATAGCTATCTATTAGCACTTTTGACAGTTTTTATTTCTTTAACTGCCTGGTCAACCAAATAGTTGAACTTCCACTCAGCAAAAATGGAGGTTGGAGCTTTAGGAGGCAGTTAAACTATTGACACTTATTGTGTTTTAAATTGGAAAGATAATACTTTGGGAATTATATTGATATTTCTTATCACCTTACACATCAATTTCTGCATTAATTAATAGTACCTAAATCATGCAAATGTAACATTTCTGAGCTTTTAACTGTTTCATATTGCTAATCTTCATTAAAATCACGCACACAGTAGTATTCTAATTCCTTCTTGCATGTCTGAGTAATCCTAATGAATTCCACTCTCTGAGCCTGTCCCTGTCCACAAAAAATGAACAGCCATCAGGTCCTATTTTGGAAAGTGTTAACATCCTCCCTACAGAAAGCACCCACCCTGCCTGCGCTGTTCCTGCACCATAAGCAAAAGTCCACTTTCTTTGATAAGTGAGCAGTGATGTAAAGAAGGGGGCAATGTTTTTGCCTCAAAGTTGAGAAGAAGATCTTTTATCATGTAATCTTTAAAATAACAGCAACTGTTCTTTTTTTTTTTAGTTATGCAAGTCATGGAAATTTGTTTTACAGCCATGAGAAATCTGTGACCATTCAGCCTTCCTAAAGAGGTGCTTAATCGCCAGAAGTGGCGTGTTATGGTGATGTCATGATCAGGCTGCACCCACATGGGCAGAGGCAGCTTTGTACTGAAGTCATGTCTTCTTTACAGTTCCCTTACTTTTCTAGGGGAAACATGGCAACTTCAGCATCTCTTTGGAAACCTTTCTCCTTCCTTAGCTCCTTCCACCTGGAGAAGGCTTGCCTGATGTCTGATTGCCTTGATGTCTCTGGTTTCATTGTCTTTTAAGTTCTCTTTTTCACTTTGTTGTGGATAGTGAAACTGTGTCTTGTACTGTTGCTGCATAGGCATTGGGTTAGCATCTCCTTCACTCAGAAACAAGTTGTTATTCCATGTGTTAGTACTATTTTATCCCTCGCCAGCAACTGTACTTTAAAGATGGCAGATTGTCATGGTGCCTAGCAAATGGGGGACAACCTTAAGTATAATCTAATTTAAAATTCTTTGCAGATAAAACGACTGTAAATACAATAATCGAGTTCAGCCTGGTAAAAAAAAAAGAAATAAATATACAATTGTCCCTTTAATCTTTAATCTGCCTCCATGTGGTTAGTACTGTAATAGTAATAAGTCCCATTCAGCTAACATTTGCAGCAGGTCATATTTTGTAAAAAATAAAATAAAAACACATCGCTAAATTTTGTAATTAATTAAATATTGATGTTTATGCTAAATGGTTATTGATGTAATCTTTTCAGGTCTTCAGCTATCTCCGTGGTAAAAATTCTTCGAGTTCTTCGAGTGCTTCGACCCCTAAGAGCCATCAATAGAGCCAAGGGCCTTAAAGTAGGAACTGAAAACATATTTCCGCCTCTAGACTTACACTGCAGCAGCTTTTGATTCAGTCTGTTGATACGTTGGTACACTTGTTTTGCAGCATGTTGTTCAGTGTGTCTTTGTGGCAATTAGAACTATTGGCAACATCATGATCGTCACCACTCTGCTTCAGTTTATGTTCGCTTGTATAGGTGTCCAGCTATTTAAGGTGAGTAGCTCTAACTTTTAAACATTTCAACATATAAAGGCACATTCATTTTGAAAAATCAACATCCCTTAGAATGGAGTTTAACTTTTATTGTCTATGTCGTAGGGAAAATTTTACCGTTGCACAGATGAGGCCAAGTCAAGTCCTGAAGAATGCAAGTAGGTTGGGTTTTCTTGATCCTAAAAAGCAAAATTACCTGAATCTTTCACTATGTTTTGATTGGCAGTGTATTTGTAATTGATATATAATTTTTTTAATAGGGGCACATTCATTCTATATAAGGATGGTGATGTGAATCAGCCAACAATACACAGGCGGGTTTGGCACAACAGTGACTTCAACTTTGACAATGTCCTCATGGCCATGATGGCCCTGTTTACTGTGTCTACGTTTGAAGGCTGGCCGTCGTAAGACTTAAACATTTAATGTTCTTAAAGTAAATTGAACCTTAAGTTTTGTTTTTTGTAAAAGTAATGACGAAACTTCATGTGTCTCCTCAGGTTACTGTACAAAGCAATCGACTCCAACAGGGAGAATCTAGGACCCATTTACAACTACCGTGTGGAAATTTCAATCTTCTTCATCATCTACATCATTATCATTGCTTTCTTCATGATGAACATCTTTGTGGGTTTTGTTATTGTCACATTTCAAGAACAGGGAGAGAAGGAGTATAAAAACTGTGAACTTGACAAGAACCAGGTAAACAAACAACATATAAATAGTTTTTGTATTCTGGATGCAGTTCACCAACTAATTTTTATCTTCTGTCTTTTGTCTAAGTTATGCACTGGAAAGTAGCATCTCAATCATGCTTACAGTTGCAAATAGCTATATCAAATGCTGTCTCAAACATTACCATAAAGTTGTTATAGTGTAATGTCTTTATAATCATTCGTTCAGCTGGTCACATGTTTATAGCTTCATAATCTAGATTTGACAAAAAGCAGCAGAAAGGTGACAAAAAGAGATAGAGAAGTGCTTTCTGTGCTGATGAGAAGAGGACTTCTTTAAAAGTTAATGTTTGAATCTTATTCAGTAAACTCTGGATGTGAAGACTTATTTTCTATTTATCAAAAAAAGGTAAAACCACATTTATGAACCTAGTTAGAACCTGGTCAGTATGCCTGATTTGGCAAAGGCCATTTCCTATGGAATCTTTGGCAAGTTGATAATTCAACATCCTAAAAATAATATCAGGAAAATGATTTCAGAATAGAATGCAGCATGGGAGAGATATTACACATCCTATTGACAATGGATTTCAATGTTCTTATGTAACAGTAACGGATGCTCTGTTATTGTTATTGAACAAAGGATGAAGTAAAATAATATATACTGTCAACATTCCTATTTATATTTAATGGCAGATTGCTTTAAATTATATCAAGTTCATATCGCAGACATCAATGGTCTTAAAGAGACTCAAATCAAGTAGAATATAATAGAATAGAATGGAGTTGAACAAAATAAAAATATACAGGTAAACACATGACTGTAACACATGAAAAAGAACAAAAGTGCATGGAGGGGTTAAATGGAAATATTTAAAGAAAATAAAAGTTTTTTTTAAAGATTTTAAAAACTGTTTGGATTAATATAAATCTATGGAAAGCTTGTTGGCTTCGATCGTTTCACTTTTGACTTGCCATTTATTGATTTAAAAGAAAATAGGAATAAAATTGAAAATGGTCCAAAAACATGTAATTAAGGTGTATTTTCTATGTTTCTGTGCAGCGTCAGTGCGTGGAGTATGCTCTAAAGGCCCGTCCTCTAAGGAGATATATACCCAAAAACCCTTATCAATATAAGTTCTGGTATGTGGTGAACTCCACAGGCTTTGAGTACATCATGTTTGTGCTTATCATGCTCAACACACTCTGCTTGGCTGTCCAGGTAAGAAATCATGAAAAAATATACCGGTACCTAAAATCATTAAGGCTCTCACCAAAATCTGTCTGTTTACATTTTTGTCAATAAAGTGAACAAGAAGCCTTTGTATACTTTACTGCCAGGAATGCATCTCTTATGTAAACAAATTATGACTGTCACATTTTCTTGTCATACTTTCTTGTCATACTCATGTTATTAATTTAAATTGACCTTAATTCTCCTTATTCTTTCTTTTTCTTGTGTTTTGTTTATATGTTCACAGCACTATGGCCAGTCAGCTCTCTTTAATTATGTAATGGACATTCTCAACATGGTCTTCACTACTGTATTCACTGTGGAAATGGTTCTCAAGCTCATAGCATTTAAACCAAGGGTGAGTAAAGATAAACAAAACAGACACAGAAACTCAGAACTAGGACAGATTTTTAAGTTGTGACCATCTTGGAAGTTTCTAAATTTTGGGGGGGGATTTTGGAAAATTAAAATCTTTGACACCATAAAAACACATTTGGTTTAACTCATGTTATAAACAATCGAAGTTTGGATTCTGTTGTTGTTAAAGTGAAGTGACTCAACTGCCATGTTTTGCAAGAAGGTGAAAATATGTATTTATTTATTTTCTTCACTGTGGGGGAAAACAAAACAGCTCAGAAAATAGGACTTTGTCATACATGTCATGAAGCTAAACCAACCAACTTTATAGAAAGTCCAATTCCATTGTCTAGTTCTATATGAAACACTTCATTGCTTTTAATTATATAGATTAGGACAATTCACATTAATGATCATATTGGCTTTAACCATTGATGTAAATATGCCAGAACTACTGTAGCAGAAGAGCTAGTGTTCATCTGCAATCCTGATGCAAGGGCAATGGACATTAAACAGAACAATATAAACAGAACACAGATTACAGACAAGATGTAGATAAGCCAAAATGATTTCCTAAAAATATGGACTGAAATATAGCAATCAAACCCAATATTCATTGAAAATCAGAATTTTGAAGAAGCATATTGGTACTGTAAAATTGAAATGTAAGCTAAAATTGGTATGAATGATTGTTGAACTCTATCAATTTAGCTAACAGTTTCTGTGCTATTAGAAGGAACTATGAAAGTACAAAGTCTTTAACTCTCAGCTATTAGACATCCCATTGGTACTACTGTGCTTAGTCAGCAGAAGATAAATGAGTCAGCAGTGCTTACTGCAGCACCTTTTACTGAGATTGTCTCCAAGATAAAAAAAAAAATATTATGAACCTTTGCTGTACTTCACTGTCAGAGACCAGAGTTTTTACTGAAAAATTAAATTCTGGCTCATAGTTGATCTATGGCTGATACACTTTAATTAACAGATAGTGTGTATGTAAAGTCAGAGCCAATGATTACAGCACACCTGCTTGTTTGATGTCGCTGAGTTTTTTTGTCTGTAAATTACTAAAGGGTGACAGCAATGGGATTACAAGGACTTTTTATCATTAAAATGTTACATTACTCAACTTGATACTTTATGCTAAATATGTATTTTGCATATCATACCTGAAATGAACCCAGATGTCAGTGAGTTGTTCAATTCTGTTTTGTTTTTCTGTTTCCATTTCTTGACCTACAGTTATGTGTTGCAAAGAAAGACAGGATGCTAGTAAGGAAAATGAGTGTTTTGCAGTGCTGAGCTTTTTTCCCCTCTTAATCAGGAGTTTTGTTGATTTTAGTGTTATTGTGAATTTAAGGGTTGATTTGCCTTGAAGCTCAATAGCAGCCTGTGATTCAATGCAATATAATTATTGGCCCTTCAGCTGAGGATGCCAGCAGGGGACTTCCTGTGTGTTTTTAAATTAGAGATATTATTTGATAAGTAGAATTTAATTTCTGTGCATGCCTAAAAACATTTTTTGTTGTTGTTTTTGCTGACTTTACAATTGACCCACACATCATTCAGGGATATTTTGGGGACGCCTGGAATGTATTCGATGCCCTGGTAGTCATTGGCAGCATAGTAGACATTGTTCTCAGTGAGATTGATGTAAGTAAGTTCAGCTACTGTTTACATCGTCGCTTTAAGAGCTGTTTCTCCTCTTTTTCACCTCTGTTTCTGGCAGGTTTTCTCACAACTAACTCATTTTGTTTCCAGTCTGATCCTTCCTAACACTTTTTCTCTGTTTCTGTTTCTCCTCCCCTGATCCTGCCATTGAAACTTTTTTTTTTTTTTCATCTTTATTTTAAACTCCTCCACAATGTCTGTTCTCATATTGCTTCCACCTTCTCCTGTTTGCTGTCTTTCATTGCCCTTTTTACCCCTTCATGTTACCTTCAACAGCACTATTTTGCTGATGCTTGGAACACATTTGATGCCTTAATTGTTGTTGGTAGCGTCGTCGACATTGCTATCACTGAAGTTAATGTAAGTATTACTTTCCTTTGACTCATAAGTTAAACTGCACCCTCACAGAAAGCCAGTTGGCCACTGTAAATCTCTGACTTTAAAAAAGCTTGACATATCCTTCTATTGTGAAATTAGAAATAAGGAATCAATAGAAGTCATATTGTGTAGATGATTAAAAAGGTCTTTTCTGTATTATCAGTTGCCATTGGCTTTTTGTAGGCTTCAGTTTGACTTTTGCACACAAAAAAACTTTGAAAATGCCTTGCAAAAGTATTAAATCCCCTTAAATTTTGTCACATTTAAACCACATTATTCCACATATTTTGTTTTTCATCAGGTGTTTTACACCAATACAAAGCAGTGCAAACTTTTAAAGTGGAATACAAATGTAAAACATTGCTTTCAAATTCTTTACAAGTAAATCTATGTAAAAAAGGGTGCCGTGCCTTTAAACTTAGCCCACTTTACTCTAAAAGGCCTGCATTAAATTTTACCTCCACCAATTACTTTAAGCTCTCACCTAATTTGTAATAAACTCAATTCAGTTTGCAGTCAGCAAACCAAACATGAATGGGATGCACCAAATGTGTAAGAGATGGTGCTTTAATCAGATGAGAACAAATTTGAACTTTCTGATCTACATATCAAATACATGGTATCTTTAAAAACTAAAACTGCACATCATTCTAAACATACCGTCTACCATTAAATGATTATACTTTTCTTTAACACGAAAAGCAAAGCTGGTTAAAGTTAAAAGGAAGATGAATGCAGCTAAATGCTGCTGTACAGTATCAGAACTAAACATACAACCAAAGCTACATTTGAGTTTTAAACAATACACATTTTTTACAAGAAAGGTTCACTTTAATTATAATCTGTTTAGTGTTTGTCTATCACATAAAATCCTTATAAAATGCATCCAAGTTTGTGGTTCTAGAAAAATAGGTTCTGCAAAAGCTGAAGTGTTTTTAATACTTGTGCAAGGCAGTGTACTTAATTTAATGCTACCATAATAAATAAATCAACCTTTGACGAGTGTGGTTAACTTTACATTTCTTTTATTGTGGATGTGTATCATAACAGCATTTACAATAACATGCCGATTCTTTACCCTGGAGGGTCACAGGAGTCTTTCAGATTTACCTGTGATCTGATGCCTGTGTTCCATTTGATTAGATAGTTTATAATGTGGTAATCTAATTCTTATTTTCTATTCATTTTTCCCATAGAAACTTGTAGAGGCAAGTATGGAATTAAACAAGAATGTTGCTTGTGTGTACTTGGTTGTTGATGACAACTTTATCCTTTAATCCCCTTTACAGTTGGCTTAATACTAAATACAGATTGATTAGGGTGATAGAAAGCTGATAAGGTTTTTTTTAGCAGTACGCTAAGTACTTTTTTGACCTTTGAAATTAATATTAAGCATATGAATGAATTTCTTAGAAAAAAAATTACTCTTATATACATTAGAGTAGATTCAAGTCGATAAAGCAGTTTAGGACTGAACTGGTCCAGTGGATTAGAATCATCTGATAAATAATTTCAGTGAAATATGTATGATCATAAAAGCTCTCACTATTTATGAAGTGTAACTATTCTAAAACCATTTTAGGGTCAGATAAAGTGGAATGGTTATGAGCAGTCTGTATCTTACCTGTAATCCACAGCTGTCTGAATTGTCCAAGGTTAGAAAAAACAGGGTTAGTTTTGTTTTACTATAAAAAATATAGCCTTCCAAAATGTTGTTGGTAACGAAGATGAAACCCCCTATCATCTTTTAACCGTTTAACTAACTGAGTGCATGTCGATGCAGCTACCTAAGCACACAATCCATCCGTTAATCAATCACTCCTTAGTCCTTGACTCTGCCATCACAGGTTATAATTCCAGTCCATTTACCCCTCTCTCAATCCAACTTCCTGCCACCTGACTCCCAAATAAAGGCTCCTGGTAAAAAAAAAAAAAAAAGCTTAATAACTTTAATAAAGTAATGATCGCATTATGTAATTACAATGCATTAGCAAAGTATTTATATAACTGCACTTGTTCCACATTTAGATATGTTAAAATTGTCTTATTGTATTGATCTATTTCCTCAAAATCCTACACACAGATGCTCAATTATGATAATCTGAAAAGTGTTTATTTAGGCTGTTATAAATGTATAAAAAGAAAATAGAAAGCAAAAAAAAGATAATTTTGTGAAAAGAAATTCGTTTCTCATTTTTTTATTGTTTGTGAAGGAATTATACAGGGATTCACACTGAATTTTCATTACATGGGGATTGATTTCTACCAACAGACTGCAACTGAAAATCTACACCCTCTTTTATGTGCAATTTGTCTCCTAAATGCAGAATTTCACTGCTGTTTTTATTAATTAACATGACCTTCTTCCTTCACACTTTATATATATATTTATTTTTTTTGGGAGGTTCAAGGCATAAATTTAACAACAAACACAAAAAGTATACAACAGATGCTCACATTTCAGACAGTGGTAGCTTATCCACATAAGTAGTGGTGCTTATTTAAGGCACAACTTTGATTGGCAAACATGCAATAACAAAGGCCTGAGCCAGCAGCTATATAAATAGGCTGTTTTCAAGATGAAAATGAGCCAGTTTTAAATATAAAATGCCTGTTTTAAAACCTCTGAAACTATAATTTAAAACCCTGAGTGTTTACCTTATATCCACACATTTTACAACCTAACAACCTAGCAAAACTCATTTCTGTCTCAGAAATATATGGGTTTTGCTTTTTTCTAGGCTTGTGCTTTGCTGACTTATTTCTACTGCACTCATGACATCTCACAAATATTACCACAATATGACTTTCTCCTCATAGAACTGAATTTGTATGCATCACTGCAACAAAGGTCATACCATACTATTAACCTATCTCAGTAGTGACTTGATTGGAACATTAGTTAATCTCATACTACGCTATGCAGGAGCTCTATCTGCACTGTTTGAACAAAAGGCAACCTTTGCTAATATTTTAATTAATTACGTAAGCTAAAACAGAACGTGATCAATTGAGTCTATCCCCAGATGGTCAAGTGATCCTTGATTCTGAGAGAAAAAAAAAAACCAGCAGCTGTAAACTCCATGGTAAATAGCACATTTAGCACTACTGTGGAAAGTTTCTATCTTTATAGAAAGAACAGTGTCAAACTATTAAAATATGTTAAGTTGAAAAGCTAGAAAAAAGGTTATTATGCTTCATCGTGGTTATGTCAGAAGGTTATCTAACTTGTCTCACCAGAAAAAAATGTCTGATTCTTCTGCTAAAGTCATTGAGGAAGCTGTTAATTGCTGGCAAGATGCTGAATGCTGATAACTATTTGACAAAATCCCTCCAATTTAACTGTATCAAGCATTCCCTTCCAACTTCATTTACTTCAACCCTTTGTTTCCATCCCTGGGTGGTCTCATATCCTATGAGCTGCAGTGCTGTTTTTCTGGAGTAACGATGTTTTTAAATGTGTTGCATGACTGTGTCAACAAGCACTAACTTTATTTAAAACAATGAATCATTGTGAGTTTTTAGAATTCTCTGTGTTATGCATGTGTGTTTAACATGTTTGCAGTGTTTATTCCAGTTGTTAATGTGTGTAGCGGTGAGGAGGTGTAAATGTCGGCAAAGTGTGATTGATTATACAAAGGCCTTTATTTCTAAATTCATTTCTAATAATGTGATTTCTGTTTAATCTGCATGTGTGTCTTTAACTGAATGCTCCATTTAACAATGGCAGCTGATATGTTGTGCGTTTGCTACACTTTGCATATTTTTGGTTTCTCTCCAGGCATGAGTTAAGCAAACTTTTATAATTTTCATGGACTCACTAATTGCATGTTGGTTGGTCAGACAATCACCTCATAGTCAGTAATCCTTTTCATATCCGCCTCTCACAGATGACAATCGGTCACTCAGTCCCTACCCTTCCGGTCAGTGTTTTCCATAGACTCATGTTAAGCTTGTTCCTTTTGTTTTGCTTGTTGTACCCTTTAGTGTTCTGTTTTTTTTCCCCTCCAGACAGAATGGCCCTGGAGTTAAAGGTTATGATAACTATACAAAATTAAGGAATATACTAAAAATAAATATTTCAAGTTTCAAGTTTGGTCGGAAACTTAAAGCTTATATTCTTGGTAATGGATTTAGTCAAGAAAAATGTTAAACTGAAATTTAAAGTCAATTTAAATGAAGGGTCTTAGCATATTTTGACCTGCAAAGTTTCACGATTATTAGATGAGATTGAAAAATAACAATTGGCTCTGTATGAATATCTTTTTTGCCTTTTCAAATTAATGGAAGTAGACGCCAGCTGAGACCGAGGTTCTTTGATGATCTTGTGTTTGTGTATCTTTGAGTGACTGTCACTGTGTTTTGTTCTGTCTCTCTTTAGTGAGCTCTTAAAGCTCTGAATGGAGCACATGTGTAGCGCAAGTGTGTAGACTCCAGTCAGGTGCATGAAATCTAACAGTTACTGTCTCTGTCTCCTCTTTCAATCTTCTCTTTTATTTACAGGTGCATTTTAATAAATTCTATAATTCCTCAAAAAAAGTGCATTTGTTTCTATAAATCAGTTTAAAGGAGGAACCCCATGCCTAAAGATTCGTTGGCTCAACGTTATAGAAATGGTCAAATTGTTAATGCAGGAAATGCTATTTTATATGGTCCCTCTCTGAAAGGAGTACAATTGACTCAAAATCAACTATTTTTTGTTTTTTAAAGTTGAGCTAAAGCAGTTTTTTTTTTAAGAAAATGTTTTACCTGAAAAAAAAAAGAAAAACTTAACACTCAGGTATTTTCTTGAAAGTTGTTAAGCAGATAGTCCTTCACACCTTTTCCAAGGAGGTTAATCCAAAAACGGATTTTCTAAATTAGCTGCCTATTCAAAGTGTCAGAAAAGCTGTATGTAACAAAATTACACTCTGTGTATACAAAATGACAATAAAGCTTGTCTAACTCTGAGTATTGCATCAAGATATATTAATGTAAAGTTAAGTGGAAGGAAAAGAGTTCAGTTGAAGAAAAAAGGTGCACAAACAGCAGGGGTAACTGAGACCTTAGTGGTGTGAAGTAAGAATTCTTCAGAGAAGAAGATTAACAAGGCATTGGATGTTGATAGATTCTAGGCTGAGGCACCCTATATGCAAATGTTAGACATGGGCTAACTGTGGCACTCCATTTAACTTATATAGTTGTGTTAATTTGTTACCCTTCATTAAGAATGTTTATATGAAGCATAATACCTGTCCTCAGGTGGCAAGGTATACCTTTTTTCAGTATCAGCAGATACACTTTTTCCAGGTATCGGTAATAGATTGGATTAGAAAAAAACTGGAGCAGTGCATTAAAGGTCTTAGAAACTGCATTTGAGTTTTTCATTAGCCATCAGCCATACTCATCAAAACTGAGAGAAAGAGAGAATATAACTGTGAGTGTAATGAATCCTTTTAATATACTAGTCTCACTTTTTGAATGGATTTAATGAAACAAATACCTTTTTGATTATCTTCTTCTTTAATGAGATGCACCTGAATTGTCTCTCCCAGTGTTTTCTCGGTTGCTGGCCTCCTCTTGGTCCTTTCTTTTTTTCTCTCCTCCCTGTGTTGCTTATTTGTATCTCTGCACCAGACTGTGAGAGCGCCCTGCTGTGGCAATTTAATTACAGGGCACTACTGGTATGCATGGTTTGCTGCTTTGCTCTGAGTCACCACTGGCTCTAAATCATTCGAATGTTTCATTTGTGTGGATGCAGTGCAACCTCAGCAATTTGGTGATGCTAAATTGCATGCTCCGTTAATGCTGTGGCCAGGATTACCTAAAGAACCTCCTCAAGCTTATTCTTAGTTGATTTTATGTTCAAATCATCTCTGCTTAATTCTGCAAGTCATGCTGATGGTTTGTTATGCTGGGGGATTTGAATAAAGCCATATCTGTCTGGAGTATTTTGTTGTTGTTTTTTTGTTTGTTTTTATTGCTAAGCAGTATATTCATCTTTTTTAGTATTTAACAAAAGTTTCTTTGTTTTTAAGATTTCATTTCATCCACACTGCTACAGAGGGATTAGTGTTGTCAACCTTGAATAGTGTCTGCTATCTCATAATGCAATCTGCATCATATACTGATGCATATTTGGGTGCAAATCTGTGTTAAAAACTGTGAATATCGAATTTTGTTGTGTAAAGGGATATGCAGTGCTGTGCAAAAATCCAGAACCATTGACAGCATCCCAGATTGGGTTTCAAAATGCTAAAAAATGTCTGGAAATAATTGAAGTGGCATTGATCAATACTTATCAAAGTTTGCTAAAAGTCTTGCTCTTTGGTAATTTTTAAGTAATTGAAATTAAATAGTAACATTATACAGCAATAAAAAAGACAAGGTTAATTTTCCTTTTTCTGAAGTACAACTCAAGGCAAATTCTGAAGTTCAAATCACCATCTTGTAGGAAAATAACAATGGCTACACCAATGTGTACCATTAAAATACTGTAATGTGATGATATTATATGTTTTATTTTAGTATTACTTCAGAATAAAAGTAGTAAGAAGAATCTAAGGTAAATGCTGTACATCTCCAGGTCATAATTATGAGCTCATCTTTCTCTCCCTTGGCTGGATATTCAACCTTACAGAACATGGGAGTCTGACTCCTTGAAATTTATTCAAAAGATTTTACAGATACACATTTGCAGTGCTGTAATTTGGCTTTTCATAACCTGTAGTGACAATATAGCGTTATAACTGAAGATAATGTTACATTGTTGTCATATAATGTAAGCATATAATGTAAATCAGCATGTCCAGCATGCTGATTAGATTAGTCAATACACAAAACACTCTCAAGAACAAAAGATTAGAAAAAGCAGCTGGAGTCTAAAGAAACATTGAAATACTTTCTCAAAGCCTGTGGAACCATTGATGAAGCAGTGTTTTCTAATTATTTTAGGAAAGTTTGGCTTTTTGGAAACCTTAATATCAATATGCATTTCAAAACTTTCCACAAAGTGTTTTATATATATATATTATCAAATTTATTACTAGATTTGTGTTTGTTTCTAAACAGATTCTTTTATGTTCAGCTGTTTATTGGGCCTTTACTATTGCGCTATGCTCATATTACATGGTTTTGTGTCTAGTAAGATATTTTGAGTCCATTTGTCAGGATTTGAAATGTTCAGGGTTTATGAAGGAATGCAAAGTGAACAAATCCGGGTTTTTTATTACATCATCATTTCACAACATTTATGTAAGTTATTGCACTTTCCATTAACATTCTTTTAAAATCTCACCAAAGACATTTCACCATTGAATCCATGAAGTACCATGAGCAGTAACTGCTACACTGGGGGGGTGATAAAGTTGTGTGCCAGTCTTACATGTTGATGAGTCTTTTATTGTTGTTTGTCACTATATGTGTTTATGTTAAGCTGACATCTTGTTTTGTGGAGTTTTAAGTATCTCCATAATTTGTTATAAAGGTAATGCCTGCCAGTAAAAGTTTTTTTTTAGAGAAATACACGTCTGTCCTTGTCCAAGAGAAAATATAAGACTTGTTTGTCCTGTCATATAAGGAGAGTACTTACTTTGTGCTGTCTCCGTCTTCTAACTGACATTTGCTGAAGTTTTGTGACAATAACCATATATTTGTGAGACCTTCTGGCTCTGTCTAAGTCATTAATACGGGTCTTTGATTTTAAAGCCAACGGAGACTCCTCAGGTGGATGAGATGGGGGTAAGATGCTTTCCCCCATGTTAGGGCCATGCCATTTTTCGATTTGCATTTCTGTTGTTACTCCGTCCTTCTCTTCATCATCCTCTTTCATTGGTTGCTTATTCAAGCTTTAGTTATCTTCTCATTTTCATTATCTTTACTTTTCTCAAATATGCTTTCTTTGTTCATCTACATATCTCCTCAGAACATTTGCTTTTTATTATTCCTAAATGTTTGGAGTTATTTCGAAGAAAGGTGTGTCACTCAAATGTGACACATGTCTCTTGTCTAGTGGGAGTGGCCTTGAGCTGCTCTTCATGTTTGTACTTTGACAAGGCTCCATGGTCTCTGCCTCCGTCTGGCGGCAGGTAGCATCCCATGGATAAGCCTCTGGGATCAGGTCACCCAGCTATGACCTGTAAACCTCCCGGTTGACCCGTTAGGGTTGGTCCCACTGTGACTCCGCATGCAGTGACTCTGGACTGAGGGTTCCATGCTTGAATAGATGCGTCCCATCCAGTATGGCAAGGTTTTTTTCCAGCATGCTTGCCTCCTGGCTTACTTCCCTTTTTAGGTCTGTACAGGAACAGAGAAACTGACCGTGCTTTGAAGACAGACCTGCAGAGACATATCGGCTCTAGCTACACTGCATCCAAAATTCATTACACTGTCAGAAACTGTCTATCTGACAAATGCTCTTATTCCGTCATTTGCAAATTAATATAAAAGTGTGGTGCTGCTTTGCTAGCTCATATGTAACTGATATGGAGGTCTGAGCTCATCCACCAAAGCACAGTCAGGCACTCTTGTGTCACCTTGATGCATTGCTAATGTCTTGCTTTTAAAAACTCTTTTCTACAGAACACGGAGGATAGTGCTCGTATCTCCATCACCTTTTTCCGTCTGTTTCGAGTCATGCGGTTGGTCAAACTGCTCAGCAGAGGAGAGGGTATTCGAACATTGCTGTGGACCTTCATTAAGTCCTTCCAGGTGATCTGAGGTGTTATATTAAATTATTGCTGGCAAAAAGTTAAAAAAAGCTGACTGTCATTCCTGTTTCACTTCTTTCCTGTTTTCAGGCCTTGCCGTATGTTGCTCTTTTGATAGCCATGTTGTTTTTCATCTATGCCGTCATTGGCATGCAGGTTGGTATGATACCTTGCAGAATTATTGATGTTGGTTCATCCAAAAAAAGTTTTGTTCAAATTTCATCTGACAGAGCAACAAAAACTACAAGTGTGTGTGTAAATGAAAGGGGACCTTTATTTTTTTTCATGTTTTTCTCCTTTGCATGTATAAACTCTTTTTTTAAACACCATAGCCTTATATGATTTAAATTTAGTGTTCTTTTTAAACTGATAATGACATTTTGTACTTTTAGGTTTTTGGAAAGATTGCTATGGTTGATGGCACGCAGATTAACAGAAACAACAACTTTCAGACCTTCCCCCAGGCTGTGCTTCTCCTTTTTAGGTGTGTTATCCGCAACCTTTATGAAAGTCACTCTGCTTAAACCTTTAGGGTGACTGATGTGCATCTGCTTTGTCTTTCTGCCCTCCAGGTGTGCCACAGGTGAGGCGTGGCAGGATATTATGTTGGCCTGTATGCCAGGGAAACTATGTGACCCTGAGTCTGACTACAACCCTGGGGAGGAGATGACTTGTGGCAGTGGATTTGCTATAGTTTATTTCATTACCTTCTACATGCTTTGTGCTTTCTTGGTAAGTATGGTTTTTCAAACTGTTTGTGCCGTATTTGTATTATATTTAACTTAGATATTTCATTCTGTTCAAACTTTTATTTAAAACTTGTAGGCACAATAACTAGAATACACACAAACACACAGCAGTCACCAAGTTCTTGAGAGAAAAAGTTCTGTATCTTTTCTGCATGAAATAGCAGAAAGTTGGCCTGAACATTTTCAGTTAACTCATTGTCCACCTTTAAAGAGCCCTAATGGTTCCAGTGTAAGCAGAGCTCAGTCCCAAGTTGTCATGTTATAAACACAAGCCAGCTCTATTAAATAATACAATCCTTAATACAGACTGTATTAAGGATACATTTCAATAATAAATAATAAATTTCAATTAAATTTTATTTTGAAAATGAGACATTTCTGCTTATGAGTATGAATGCATCAGAATAACTAGTAAAGGTTCTGTATTGTGAAAAAATGACATTATAAATTTGTAACAGTTATATGTCCTGAAGCCTGTGCATGAGATTCAGAAATGAAAAAGACCCTTTCACGTTTATCATTTCCTTTCTCCACCTTTAAGCTTATCAGTGTTCCAAATGCTCTGTTTGAAAAACATTCCCCTTATGAAGTCATAAGGGGAGGAAATAAACTGTCCAGAGTGGTCTGTAGCAGTCCATTGCTCAAGCTACAGCCTTCATTTATTGTATTATTTCATGATCCTAGCCTCTATCTTAATGAACTCTGACCGGTCATGTCATGGTTGCTGTTTGTGGGGGCGCAGCCTTTTGGTGGATGGGGCATCAAAAGCGAAAATGGCTCATTCAGTGCAGGGCTGAATAAGGACATCATTGGTACATGCTCTCTGCCTTATCTGATAGAAATGTTCTCGCACAAATGACCAGGGGGCCTAATTTTGAATATTTTTCATTTTCAAATGTAGATGAAATGGTAGATATGGTAGATGTAAATAATATGATAATATGGGACCTTTAAATCTGGCAGTAATGTTGCTGTAGGAGTGAACTACTTCCAGTTTCGATATTGCTGTTATACAAAAAGTTGTTAATGCACTAAGAAATTGTGAGAAAATAGTTATAAGACAATAGTTCTGAGTATTGGTGTTATTATTTGGTAGACTCTTGAGATATTTTACCCCTGTTCCATTTTGTTTTGATTTAGACATAATTTTCACATATTGTTTTCAGACTGATGTCATTGACTTTGTATATCATATGTTGTTTTGGTTTAAACCAGAGCATATGTTGCTTTTACATTTTAGCTTACTTAGTGTGTTTAGTGAAGTTCTATCTAAAAGAGTCCCTGGTCCTTCAAGTCAGGCAGTATTCAGGCTTAGAATTAGGTTGTGAAATGTTACCAAAACTGTGGATATTCAAGTCGAAATCATGCTTTCGAAGTGGAAAACTCTTTTGTCTCAAAGGACCATTTACACATTTGAACTAAACTAACAGATATGGTTAATTGATAAATAAATATTCAAATAACAAACTGAAAAGGCGGTGATAATAGGACACCTCTTTGATTGTCTTGAAGACTCCACTTGATGCTAATGAAAAAATTGAGGTTGCTGCTTAACATGAATCCTAATTTCCAACCAGAAATGCTGTATACAGGCATAAAGCAGAGCCAATGATGTATATAGTTACATACAGACATGATGGAAAAACTAACTAACTTAAATGACAATATGTTTGACACAACTCCTTTGTGGATCCTTTGCGGTTTGCTGTTTAAAAGTCCTTATAGGTTGTGAGGTGGATGGAACGCAGCTCATTCTGTCCTATTTTTTGTCCTGGTGTTACCTGGTTTCTTTAAGGGACTAGGCCTTTAACAGTCACAAAAACGTGACTAAGACAAACTTTAAACTTTTTAATTTACCAGTACTAAAAATCTGGCCAGATCTTAACCTGGGAGTGTATATTCACAGTTTTGGGATTGTTTGGATATATTTCTAACCATAAACTCTAACAATCAAATGTCTCAGGTTATGTAGTATTTTTTTTAGGATTTGTGACATGGTGAACTATCTATTTTTTTCCAATTTCTGCAGATCATCAATTTATTTGTGGCTGTCATTATGGACAACTTTGACTATCTGACACGTGATTGGTCTATTCTTGGTCCTCACCACCTTGATGAATTTAAAAGGATATGGTCAGAGTACGATCCTGAAGCAAAGTATGTGTTTTTTCCTAAAAAAAAAATCAATTTTCTTGTTTGATAGCAGCTGGTTGTTAGATTCTGTTATGTTGTAGCTTTACAGTATATTTTTAACTTATTGAAAATATTCTTTTTTTTATGTAGAGGAAGAATTAAACATCTAGATGTGGTGACTCTGCTTCGTCGTATCCAGCCCCCTCTTGGTTTTGGTAAACTGTGTCCTCATAGAGTGGCCTGCAAGGTGTCCTTTTTTCTCTATTCAAAAATAATCTTTTCTTTGTAAGTCACTACAAAGCAGAAATTATTTGTCTATTATGTTAAAAATATGTAACTGCTTTACCTTTTTAGAGGCTGGTAGCCATGAACATGCCACTCAACAGTGATGGGACAGTCATGTTTAATGCTACATTGTTTGCCCTGGTGCGCACAGCTCTGAAAATAAAAACTGAAGGTATATACTGAACATTGATCCTTTTATACCTCTTTCTCCTTGTAACATTACTATTACAAACTACTTGCAGGTCTATGTAGTCTCATTAGTTTCATTTCAGAGCAGTACTACCCAGTGCATAGCTATAGAGGGGAGGAGAAAGGAAGAATAATTTTCTGAGTCCAACTGAGAATCTGCAGATACAGATCATTCAGTTTATTCAGCTATTTTGCAAAGAAATATGGAAGAAAATCTAAAATTTTTCATAGTTCCAACAACTATAAATGAGGCAAAGAGACTTTAACAAACTTGTTGTTGGTTGGCAGAATGTAGATTCTACAGTTTTTAGATTTTAAATGAAAAAAAAAAGATGTCCACAACTCTTTTCCCATTACTTTATGTTGGACTACCACAGTAATAAAGTTTGTAGTTGAAGAAAAAAACGGCCAATAAATGCTGTGCTGTTCATACTGTGTTTAATTCTTTAGCTGTTATTATTTTTGCTGGGTTGCTGGTTTCTCAGGGGACTGTGTTGCTCTGTGATCCAGGTAACCTGGAGCAGGCCAATGAAGAGCTGCGAGCTGTCATCAAGAAAATCTGGAAGAGAACCAGCATGAAGCTGCTGGATCAAGTGGTGCCTCCTGCTGGTGGTTAGTGGAACTGACTCTTCCCTGTCAATAAACAGACATACATCCAAATATCATTTAGAGAAATACCACACATGAACACAAAGTGTAGCCATGCTTTTCACATATTTTCAATAACATACATCCCAACTGTTCTTTCGTTAAAACTGGTTGAAAACAAACCAATTTATATCTGTGCTGCTCAAGATCTCCTGATTGTCCTCTCAGCAGTTGTCTTTTATATGTGTACCTTGTCTACACTCCTCCTGCCCTGGATGCTGATGGAGACCACTGAATACCTGCTGGGCTTCGGGCTTGCATGGCCTTATAGACCACAGTGCAAGTGCATGTTTTCTCTCTCTCTTTCTCTCTCTCTCACTAATAATCACTGTCCTCTCTCTGCTGTCTCTTCCTCTCTGACTCCCTCTGTTGTTTGAATTTCTTGTCTTTACTCACTGCTTGAGCTTTTACAGCTTTATTTTCCTCTCACATATCTCTGTAACCAAAAACTCTGAAGCACTTCAGAATATTCTGAAGCAGTTCTGTTTTAGGGTGGTGGCATGGAACTAGTGTTGCCTCTCTGTCCAATCTCTGTCCCCGACGTGCTTGTTCGAAGTGACTCAGACCCCTGCTTCAGAATGATTCTTCTGCTCACCCTCACACACACACTTTACTCCTGCAAAGAAATTATAGAATAATGCCAGACAACATCTGTGCACAGCCTTTAGCATAGTATGCAATATCAGTACTGTTTATTAGTAGGTATACATCATAAAAAAACAGATGGTTACACAGATAGACTGACATGTATGATGTTCAAATAGAGCTGCATGTTTGCATGGGGCAAAGTAGAATATTTATCTGCATTTGGATTAAATAGATTAAGTGAGTATTTAATAAATATCTTAAAAACTGGAAACATTAAAACTACATATTTATATAAAAAATTTTAAATTACTAAAGTGACATAATGACCTCCACCTCTAGCTTTAGAATTCATCCAGGGCACCGACCTTACTGATATTTGTGAAGCAGGCATGAGAAAGAGTTAAACACAAAAATATTTAATTGTTAATTGACATTAGGATAACATTTTTACCATGAGTCTCAAATGGTGGTTTAAAAAACTGCTTTTGGTACTTGGACAGTCGTTATTGTTATGCTGAGAAAGTTTTGGTATGAGATTTTTAGTCGGTAACAATATTCTAACTGAAAGTCAGAAATGATTGGTAGGATTTGTCAGTTGATACAGAATGCATTTCTTACCTTTTGATTTTTAAGTTTGGAGTCTTTTTTTCTTCCATCCTGCATTCCAAAGTTGTTTATATTTTTTTTATCTTTCAACAAAGCTAAGGGGTTGCATAAGCACTATTTTTTTGCAATGTCAGAGTAAATTTCCCCTTGAATAAAGTGAAAAGATTTGCTTTTTTTTTAATCTTTGGTAGAAGAATCTACATTACCAAAATTAAAAAGCGCATTTCAGCCCTATACACAGGCGCAATTTATCTTTGAATCTTTAAAATAGTATCTTATGATTGGTACAATTCAGACACTAAATTTAGTATCAAAAGTTTGTCAAAGTGAAACTAACAAATGATCTCTTTGACCTCTTCGAACATGCTGGACTAGTACTTTTAATATGTCATTATCAAACATGATCCCTATGCTATGAGAGAATGCACAGTGTAACCTTATTGGGAGGTGTGTAAATACTTGTAATTACTAAACTATAATCTAAAAGAGGTTTGAAATGCTTGTAAAACAGATATGTTTTATTGCATTCAGTTATATTCTATTTAAAGTGGAATATGCCATATAGCTTTGTCCAGTACATAAGGAGCTTGCAACTCTATGACAAGCTGCTGATCGCTAAGAGTTTTAAGAAGGCTTTTAGTGGCTGATTGATTATTAGCTCAAAATTAAACAGCTTAAAGAAAGAGTTAAATACTGTACTGACATTCAGCTTTAAAAACACCCAATTTCAAATGGATGTGGGGAGGAAGGCCTCTCCTCTTCACACCCAGGGTGCTGTGTGTAGTGACCTGCTGACACAGGAAGCATTTGTGTGGTCTGTTCACTCAGATGATGAGGTAACCGTAGGGAAGTTCTATGCCACCTTCCTGATACAGGACTACTTTAGGAAATTCAAGAAACGTAAAGAGGAAGGCCTGGTGGCTGCGCACCCTTCCCAGAACAACACAGCAATTGCCCTACAGGTGAGTGCTCAGGTGTTTCTGTGAGAGGATGCTGTGCATATGAGTGTGTGTGTGGATGGGTGTGTGGATGAGTCTGGAGGAAACAGGATTAAAGACGATTATGTGACAAAAAAGTTTAGTCATGTCTGTAATTGTCCTATTGTGCATTTCACTCCGATATCATCAATTATGCTAATGTCTATGATTTTTATGATTTATTATCCAGCAGGTCGTTCATGATCTTGGTGTACAGTATGAATTTGTTTTTGTAATTTATATGTTTCTTTTTTGTGCTTTTGGTCTTCCTGTGTCTTTAAATATTATCCATGTTCATTTTAAGCATGTATCACCGTCTTTTTCTGCATCACAACTCACTTCTCATATAGTTCACAAAGCTTTGGCTGTTTTTCTTACATTTCTATGTTGATATAGTCCTCAGATATTTCCATATACTGTATCTTATGCTCAGTCACATTTTCTTTAATCCTATAGTGTTGAGGTCTAAAGGAACTTTTTTTTTTCCCACACTTCCTTGGAGTATGCTGCACCAGCTGTTAGATTACACGCCATCCCACAGAGCAAAACATTTCAAACAAACAATGCTGGGTTAAAAATCAGCACTATTAAATAAGAAAGCACAAAGGTTCTCAGGTTTTAAACGTTGACTTCTTATCAGCAGTAATGACCAGAGAAAACGTGACTATAATGCCATATGCCGAACACTTACGCTTTTAGCTTATCGATGCAGCCAGCTTCTGATGATGTTTAAAAAACGTAGGTTCTGTATTATCGATATTTTACCTTCAATGTGAGCTAATTCACAATTAATGATTAGGCTTTGGTCAAATCTAAAACAAATTGAATATAACATTGGCAAAACCTAAACCTCTTTAAATAAATATTAACTAAAAATAACTACAACAATTTGGTGCAACAGAATATTTTCACCCAGGTCACATAAAGGAAACCTAAAGGATAATATTTTAAAGAAACTGCTAACTACTTTGCTTGAATGTTTAAATGTCTGGGACTTGAGTTTGAGTTGGGTTTTTGCTTGAGATACTACAAGTACATATACATATATAATTATATACATAAAGCGCTTGTGTCTGTCTCTTGTTTTTCATCTACCTTATCTGTCAGTTTTGTAAATGTCAGGTGTTGCACGGTAAAGGTGCGTGTATGCTTAGTATGTGTGGTGGCTGTGACTGTATGGTTAAGGTGTAAAATGAAGGTCCCAGCCTTAGTGCTTAGCCCTTTTGTTGTCATGATTACAGGCTGGCCTTCGCACGCTGCATGATATTGGGCCTGAAATTCGCCGAGCGATATCATGTGACCTACAGGATGATGAACTAGTAGACTTTATTCCAGAGGAAGACGAGGAAATTTATAGGGTAAATGATTTAACCCTGCATGAGGGGGGAAATGTTTGATGCAAAATTTAGCTTCATGCTAATATGATTCATGGGTTCTTTTCATATTACACATGCACAGATTACATGAAAATGCACATGTACACACAAATATTTATAAATTAAAGAGTCTTTTTCAGAGTTTAACAATTAAAATTTCATATGATTTTTTTCCACATTTCCCTAGGCATGGGCCAGGTTTTCAGTATCAACTTATATTATGATTTTAACAAGCTAAAACGCCTCATGGTAAAGTAGTTAATTTAACAATAAAGATTGCTTCTCTGGCTTCTTCCCTTGCTGATATCATACCTGACACGTATATAAGACATTATGTGAAGTGTTTCATGTAAGAACCAGTTCACATATGAGGCTGAGACTGTGCAGTTAGTTTAAAACTTAAAATTTAAAACAGATGGACTTTAAGGCTGCTACTGATTTTTTATAAATGGCAAATACACCTCTCAGCAGTTTCCAGAGTTTAAAAAAACATGGGGTTCATTACAGATATTCCAGGTGCATAAAACACTCTTTTAAAGGGTGTTTCCTTTTAAATTGAGCCAGGGCTTGCAGCTAATTATAGTTATATTTATTTTTATGACCAATAATTACAAATATATGTAAAAAAATATATAGTAAAAAACTTTGACAAGCCAGGAGAAACACATCTAAAAGTGTTGTAAAACATTAATAGCAAACTAGAGAAAGATGAATTAAAAAGAAAAAAAATCTCTATTATAATATACTGCAGTAGCAAACTCCTAGTGATAAGAGCTGTAATCAGAAAACTTGTTGCTCAGATGTTCACAATAGACTCAGAATATATTATTTTTATCCAAATAATAAACAAACCAACAATGCTGTATTTAGTTTTTAATTGCCAGTTTTTCTGGTTCTAAAACATGATAAAATTCCCTTAAGGTCAGACTGTTTTAAAGCAAAAGCTAGGAACAAGCCTCCGCCATGATGAAAGGAAAGAACATTCCCCTTGTTCTTATGCTGATTCTGTTCTAGATTTAGTAGTTTCAGAATATGTTTTAGGTCAGGCTTTCTATTGACCCAGCAGGTCCAAAACATTGGTTTGAGAGGTAGGGGTTGTGGAATTGCTGGTTTGGGCCCCCGCTCTATGTGTCTCTGGTGTTGTGCCCTTGGGCAAGACAGTTCACCCCCTTACCTCTTGTCTGTGTCTTGTTGGCACTGCTTGAATCAGTCAGCCCCAGGGCAGGTTTAGGAGTAGTGTGAAGAGATTTGGGGTCTTTGTGCTTAATAGAGCGTTATGTATGTCCATCCAATTAACAAGCCATCTCTTTTTCATGGTCCTAGAGTTGGGTTTAAAATGGCAAAAACGGCATCATATTAATTTCAGAAAGTAAATTAATTTAAAGTGTATTATTTTTAAATATACTTGGTTTCTATTTAACATTGTCTTTACATTTTAGATTTAATTCAAATTTTAGGCTTCTTCTTGGTAGATTTGTAGATATTGAATAGAATAGTTTATTGACCCAAGCAAAAATGCTGATCTAAAACAGCAGTCGTTTTATTTATAGAAGCATGATTGCCCCTAGAGAAAAGTAAAACAGAAACATGTATGTAAAAGATAAAAAATGTCCAGAGCTTGCCAAAACATTCACGTGTTCTGTTCAATCATACATGTATTTTTTAATCAAAATCAAAAACTTTTAGAATCTATGATAATATGTTTTATATCTCCAAAAGTAGTAATGATGTAACAGTAATGTAATATAGCAGAACCTGAGGTAGTTTTAGTGGTGATTGTTTAAGCACAGGTAAATTGTGTGTAGTTCAGTAAAAACTGGTATATTTTCTTGAACTGATCATAATGCCAATGTTCACTACTGGCCCATGCCTGGTTTTACCTCCATTGATGTTAATAATCTCAACACTGCTGTCATTTTGCTCACATACCATGCCATTAACCAGCTTTCAAACCTGCTTTTGCGATCATGACTTTTACTAGTGCCAGTTGTCAGACTAAACATTTGTGGAGTTTATATACAGCTGTTTAAAGAGAGTAAGCAACTCCTCTGGTTTTGCCTTGAATGTTGTTTTGCAGCGTAACGGTGGCCTCTTTGGTAACCACCTTATGAACGGTGGCCATCGGCGAGCCAACGGTCAACAAACCAACACCACACAGCGCCCCCTGCAGGTGCAGCCTCCTCCTCACTATGCTCACATGGAGCAACCAGTGGGGCGTTTATCTCGGGCTAATGCAATGGCCCATCCCAACCACCATCATCACCACCACCACCATCACCACCGCCACCATAACTCCTATGGCAAATCTCCTAAATCCACCAACATCAACTTGAACAATGCCAACATGTCCAGTATGCCCAATGGAGGACACCATATCTACTATGAACGTACACCTCCTAATGGTTACCCAGGTTTACGTACCTCCTATTATGACTATAACAAGCCACGGACACCCCAGGGTCAAAGGTAGACCTTTTCTTTTTTACACTAAGCTAAATTAAAGCATGAAATATTAGTTTATTTTGTGTTTGATTCCCAATGTCATGCCCTTTTTTTATCCTCTGTAGATATTATTTCAGATCGAAAGTTTCAGATTTTTAGCCACCTTTAACTTCCAGGTTTAGTGTCTCTAAAAGCAACTGGCAATGTTGCACTATGATAAAATTAGACAGTTCTCTGTGCTTTGGAATCTTATATCAGAACCCTTTGGACCAACAAATTAGGAAGTCATGGAGTTGCTTGTAAAAACAAGGCCACATTCGTCCCTCTAAATTATATCCTACATAAGAAAAAAAAAAAAAATGTCTCTGATCAGAGAAGTGTCATACCTGTTTTGTACCCTAACAACAATATTTAGCTTCGTTAGATCACATTTTTAAGAGGGGCTAAGTGTGCTGTAAAGTGGCGCTCTGGGTCACATGGTCATTCGAAGATAGATCTTAAGTTACAAAAGTTGATTTTTTGAGAAGTAAAGCTTTTATTGAGCGTTGATAAACATCACATCATGTATATCACCCTGAAGAATAATTCAATATTTTTTAAATTACGGTAAGCTAATGCTTGGGAATGAAGTTACATAGTGTTACTTTAAGATACAAATTTGTAAATTAGAACTTACCAAAATCTCTTTCTTCTTTTCACTAAGACACAGTTTTATTCTTATTCATGATATGTAACAGATATGGAAAACAATACGATAAACGTGTAGATATAAAAGCAAAAACCTCAGAAGAAGATTTCCGCTTTCATTGCAAAAGTTATGATAAAACTTGAGTGGTTCAAGATAAATTTTGGTCATGTTTTCTTCTTTAGACACTTTTCCACTATTCCTCTCTGAAACTTTCGACATACTCCAACAAAATACTTTGAGATTGTTAGTATTTATGCTACCAATGCCAGTATTTATGCTGTTGTTTGATTGATATCTGTAACTCAAGAAATTTAATTTTTTTGTGTAAAAACTGATATCTTTAAAGTGAGGACAATTGCTGATAATTGTGCCTAATGTGGTTTATTTTGTTAACCCAAAAGCAGTAAAACAACAAGGTTGACCACGTTAATTTCCAGAATTAACTCCTACTGACAGAATAATATTTAAAAAAAGCCAAATCATACACCTTTTCTTTTAATGGGAGCCACACAGTCCTCACATGTAGCAAGATGAGAATGTGTGTGTGTTTACATAAAACCTAATTGTTTTCATTGTACTAAAAAAGACATTCTGATTCTGCAGCTCTACAAAAAAGAATTAAAGGCATACTGCCTTCTCGGACAACATTCTTGCTTTTAGTTGCTTTTTCAAATTCAGGTTGATCTTATGATAAAACTTAGCTAATTGATTTATCCTTAGTTGTGTTTTCAAATTCTGAACTTCCCTAGAGTATAGAAGCATGTACTGTTCCCCTTATATATATATATATATGTGTGGGAATGCTGTATATGGTTGATATACTGCATGAGATCTAGATGACTGTCCTCCTCCTCCCTTTTTCTGTGTTCTACCTTTCTCCTTTCTGACTAAAATGCTTTCTCTCAATCATCCCTTTGCTCTCTTGGACAGAAGGCGCTACTATGAGACATATGTTAGGTATGTTTTCATTAGGTTTGGTTTCAGCTTTATATTTTAAAGGCAATAAGGGCTGTTTTTGTCTCATGTTTACATGGTTGACATGATTGTTACTGAATCCAAAAATCCCCGTAAATTATGCTAGTTTTTGTCTTTTCTGTTAAGAAGCACTTGTGTCAGTGCTATACATCAATAGGCAGTAAGTATAAAGGGACAACATAGACGTTTTCCTAAAGACCAACATTTCCCAAGTCTTGTAATTTACTTATTTTTGGAAAAGATTAAAAATAGATGTATATGGCAACCTCATTGATTTATATGTCTGCTTTATCATTTGATTTTGCATTTAGAGCTTAAATGAGTGAATTTAAAATTGCTTGTAAGATTAAAAAATGTGTCATTCTGTCCTGAGTTTTACAAAAATTTGAATTAAGCATTCAGAAAATCATTAACGCAAAAGTCTGGTCAGCAAGGAATAATCAATGGATCATTATCTATACCTAAAACGAATACGTTTGTGGTGATTTAATGAATATAGCGTTAATCAGTAAAAAAATACAAACAATAATTTTTGTCACGATCACTGAGTCCGGGGGCGGCCATTTTTGCCCAAATATAGTAACACCTCACTCCTGACATCTTCCGGCAGTGACATCATGGTGCGGTAAGCCTAGCGCCATTCTTCCTGCTTTACAAGCATAATCAATGGAACTACTAGACACATCTGAAATCGACAATTATTTAAGATTTTGAGAGGACTTCACCATTGAAATTTGTGAGAGCTATAGTTAAACTGACAATGCCCACGTGCATGGCTGTTGGATGTTGTAATACATCGGGTAAAAGTGAAAAAAATTTGTTATTTTACCTTTCCGACTCAAGATCCACCAAGGATAGGTTCGGTGTTGGATTGCCAACTTGAAGAGGGAGGATTTGCCATCGAACTTCTGGCCAGAGAAAAAACACATAATATATAGCCAAAATTTCGAAGAAAAATGTTTTCAAGATGACTTGGATAATAGCGTTGTGAAAAAAACAGATAGAGCACTTGGACTTGCTCAACAGCCGATACCGCACCGTGACGTCACAAACCGGCAGGTAGTGTTCTTTGATAAACATGGATGTCTCAGGTAAAGCACAATCAAATTAAATTACTCTTAATTAAAAGCACTTATTATTTATTGAATAGTATGTAATAATTTCATATTTGAAGTACTTTCAGAAGTTTGAATTCTATATATGACCAGACTTTTCCTTTGAGATATTTTAAAAAATATTTTCTTGAGTGTAGTTTTTTTACGTTTTTACTTTTAACGGATGTGTAGTACAACTGGAATACACACATGGAAAAAAATTGTTGGTACCGGTACCTGTCTTTTGATACAAGAAAAATCCAAAATGATCACAGAACTAATGGAATCTGACAAAAGTGATAATAAATTAAATTAGATGAAAATAACAAATGAAAGTCAGAGAGGCTTTTCAACAATGCTTTAACAGAATGATATAAAATAATAAACTCATGAAACAGGCCTCAAGTTATTATTCAAGTTATTTCTGTGACATTGTGGGTTTTTCATTTATTAAACGAGGGCTACCAACAATTTTGTCCACATGTGTATCGGATACCTAATAGTTGCTTTGAAATTGTGTAAAACATTTAACAGCTTCTCAGAAATACAGTATGTATTTGATTAGTTAATGCTTATTAGAAATAAAATAAATGATAATATGACAAAGAGTTACTAGTTAGCATGGAAATAATAATTATTTCTGTTAACTGTCAAGAAAAACACCCCTTTTTCAAATCATACAAGTCAAAACAATACAAGGATCTAGTGTTTTGGGTTTTTTTTATGATACAAATCTTATCTCATTTGGACAAAACCATGCATAATATTACTTTGTAAAGAGATACCAGGCAAAGGTGATTTTTGGCATGCAGTATTCAGGTGTTTGTCAGAAAGTCCCAAGGTTATACATGTGAGCACTGACATAAGTGAAGCAATTGGTGCTCCTCATAAAAATAAAAAGAGTTATGAGTCAGCTAAAATAGCCCAAGTTAAACCTCCACAGTTATCAGAGAAATTGCCTAAGACGTCAAGAAGTCAATGTCAGCCTATACAAGCCACAGATCAAGTTTGAGACAGTACAAAAAAAATATCTTAACAACTTGGATTGTTCCCTAAAGCAAACAATGTGGGTTTTTTTTTTGGTTTTATGATACATTTTCTTTTATGATTTATTTATGTTCAACATGTTTTGATACAAGACATTTGTCAATTAGTAGTCAGCATCACATACGTATCTTCATAAGATCATAGTCACGTCCACAATTAAATAGGGTTTAAAAAAAAGGGTAAAAAAAATTATCGTTCTCACACACATTTCTGTGTGTATTTGTTGTATACTTGTTAAAACATTTTGAAAGATCCTTTATTAATTACTAAAACTCTTTAAGACACTGAACTGGTCCACACTGATATAAAAATAAAATACATTTTGCTTAATTCAATACTAGACAAAAATGTATGTTGCTCAGTTTCTTGAGATATTTCCTTGTGGTAGATATGGATTGTCTCCAGCTTTGCTGCCCCCTAGGCTTCTGTCTGCGTTGCAATGCAGCTAGAGTAACCGTTTTGCCTGATTGTCCCTAAGGTCCCAGAGAGGCGATGGCCGTCACCCCATCATCCGCAGGGAAGAGGAGATTGATGAGGACCGCTTCTCTGGGGAATACTACAGTGGAGAGGAGTTTTATGAAGAGGATAGTATGCTTTCAGGGGACAGGTATTACTTCTTTACTGTCTAATGCTTACGATATTATTTACAAAGCTTCAGCGTGTTTACCTTTTATTTAGTTGCACATATTTGAGAGATTTTCTGGCTGCTGTTTGAGCAATGAGCCTCTGACCTGCAGGTATCAGACCTCTGACACGGAGTATGAAACTCCTAAAGGCTACCATCACCCTGACAGTTACTATGATGATGATGAGCAGCCTCTCTATCGGGACTCTCGAAGATCTCCAAAGAGAAGACTGCTTCCTGCCACACCTCAAGGTACAGCAATGTACTTATCTATAACCAAAACTAACGGTGCAATAAAAACATTTTTACACCGGTTCTAACCAAAAAACACCTTTGTATATTTTTTTATTTGTGGGAAATTATGAGAGAGGAAAACAAATTGTACCTCACAATGCAAAGGAAAAGTTAGGACTTCTGAACAAGTTTCGATCCAACAGTATGCAAGTTGTTTAAAAAAGTAGACCTGTTGTTAAGTTTTTTCATGTTTATAACTACCACAACTTGAGCTATATATATAAAGACAAATAGAAATAATAATTAAACCTTAATTATCTCAGATTGGAGAAATTCACTGTCTGCATTTAAGCCATCCACTTTGGGAGCAGTGGGCTGCCATTGTGCAGCACAGAGGGAGCAGTGTGGGGTTAAGGGTCTTGCTCAGGGACCCAGAGTGTCAGTCCATGCAAGTAGGACTTGAACTCAGAACCTTTGGATTCCAAGCACAGTGCCGTAACCACTAGGCCACACTTTCCTACTAATGATAAATAATGCTTGATTGCATATTTTAAATAATGAATTACATGATAAATTACTTGTTAGTATTTGCTTGTTAGTATTGCAAAGAATGATTAGTTAAAGTCCATTCATAACATGCTGCAGCACAATTACCAAGAAAATAAACTATTGAATCACTGAAATTATTTTTATCTGTACTTAAAAATAGTTGATCTTTTAATTCGTTATGGAAAAGCATACCTTGTATCAGGGTATACAAGTATAGACAACATAATATGCTTTTTATTGAGATTTTTATGTCTGATTTTTCATTTGTAGCTAAAACTAGAAAAAACTGAATAAGCAAGGTTCGCCTTTGGATGATATTATGTTATTAATATAGATTTTAATTTAATGTCTCACTGGTTCACATTCGCCTCTTTCAGGTCACAGAAGGTCTTCCTTTAACTTTGAGTGTTTGCGCAGACAAAGTAGCCAGGATGAGCTTCCACATCAGCGTACTGCTCTACCACTGCACCTTATGCAGCATCAGGTAATTTATGTCTTCACACAATCACAACAATTGAATCTTAATTCTGATGAAATCTTTCAAGATAACTGAAAAGATTTCATTTTCTTGGACATGAAAAGTGATGTTTCCTTTCTGCACTCTGCATCCAGCTAAAGTCAAAATGTCTCATTTCTTCACTGCTCAGGTTATGGCTGTAGCAGGGCTGGACTCCAGCAGAGCCCACTGCCTCTCCCCCACCCGCTCCACTCGTTCCTGGGCCACACCACCCGCCACCCCAGCCAGTAAAGACGAATCACCATACTACACCCCCCTGATCCGTGTGGATCGTCCACGCAGGGATAGCATTTCTGGCAGCCATGTCTCTGTGCGCAAAAGCTCCTGGTACACAGATGATCCAGAGTTTTCTCAAAGGACATACTCACCCATCCACCTGCAGGTGCCCCTGGAGTACCACAACCAGTACCACCAGAAGAGAGGCAGTGCAACCAGCCTTGTTGAAGCGGTCAGTTTAAAGCTCTTTCAGTTCTAGTCCTGTATCAAGATTTAATGTGATAGACCGACAAAGAGTAGCATAAGTCTGAAATGGAAAGAAAGTTATACCTAGTTTTTAAAATTTCTTCTAAATAGAAATCTAAAAAGTGTAGAATATGTTTTTATCCAGCCCCCTTTGCTCTTACATACCTGTTTTAAGATCTTATAAAATCACCTGTCCTAATTGGTAACACTCAAGGAGCTGCAAAGATCCACAGCTCAGGTGGGTGAATGTGTTTACAGGACTACTTTGTGGAGTGACCCAAGTTGTACTGTAATTCCACACGAAAATACCTTGTGTTACTTAAAACAAACATGGCACCTTACATTAACGAAACCTAACCTTGGGTTGGCTCTTTTGACTATTCTCTCGAAGGTTAGATTAAGCTAAAATACATCTTAATTTTGGAAAGAAGCCCATTAGAAAATGTAAAGACTTGATACTAGGATAAAAGTTCATCTTCTGTCATGGCAGCAAGAATTTAAATACAGTAAAGCCTGTGTCCATAATGGAAGGATTTAGATAAATCACATTTTTATTAGCATATTTTGTTAGAATATTTCATTTGCAAGAATGTCGATCTAACTGAGAAGCTGTTGGTAGACTTGCAAACCGCTCACAGATTATTTCCTTCCAACTTGTACTTGATGAAGATAACATGAGTCCTTTAATTTTACTTGATAGTTTAGCACTGTTTTTTTTTTCTTTTTTTTTTCTATTACATACAATCCCAATAAATAAACTAATTTCTTTATTTAAACTGGGACAAAGTAAAAATGCAGATATGTAATATATAGAAATATGCAAAGCAGAAATATGTTTGAAAGGCACTTTATTTTTAATAGAATTGTGAAATTAGACATCTTCATTTTAATGTTCAACTAACATTTACTCAAAGAAGATAAAGTACTACTACTACTGTAACTACTTTCTTTTTTCTTTCCTGTAGGTTTTGATATCAGAGGGGCTTGGAAGATATGCCAAGGATCCCAAATTTGTCGCTGCCACGAAGCATGAAATAGCAGATGCATGTGAGATGACAATAGACGAGATGGAGAGTGCAGCCAGCCACCTGCTGAGCGAAGGGATCGCTCCTGGCATTAATGGGGTCAACGTGTTTCCTCTTCTGACCCCCAGGGACTACGAGCTGCCAGACACAGGAGCCAGTTACAGTGATGAGGAGCCAGAGACAGAACCTAGAGTTCCTTATGAGGAGGATCTGGCAGATGAGATGATCTGCATTACGACTTTATAGCATCAGCTGGAAGGGATTGACAGATCTGACCGCACACAACAGTGAACATATAAATTCTAAAATCAGAATTGCATCTGTTGGCTCAAACCAAAAGAAGTGCCTTTTACACAGAGCAGAAAAGGCATACAGAAGGAAGAAGCACCATAGAAGCACCTCCTGCCAGCAGAGGAGGCAAGAGCAAATAGTTGACTGGAACTCTCTACTGAAGATCTTCACCTGGAAGGAACGCAGCCTGCAGCCAATTGGACGCCAGGACACTTGATGCTAGGGAGAGGTACAAGGCCAGAGCTGGCAAAGGTGTGAGACACTATGCAGGGCGGGTCTCAAAGGGTGATGACAATCAGATGTATGATGTCATTACCTCAGTCACTTTATTAAGGTTCGGCATATCATGCAAGTTTTCAATGCAAGCATAGTGAGGCATATCTACTCATTTAGTCTATAGGGGGGGAAAAAAGAGCTTAATACCTTTGTTGTTTGAGCAGGTTGTCTTAGGATAGCTGAAGCTAATTTAAAATGTCGAGTCATAACAGATTATGCAGGAATTAACTGTCCTACTTTTAGCATCATTCAACTTGAGTTGTATGTGTTTAAAGAAACATAAGCATTTGAGGTAAATGCACTAGCAGGCAGGTTGTTTTAAACATTGAAGAATAGCCTGACTAATATTTCCTAGTTGATATGCTGTAAATTGTATAATATAGCAAGAGACACTTTGTAAAGAGATAACTATATTTTGTAATTATGTATCGTTTAAAAGATCAGCAATATGAACCATTGTGACTCATGTTATATAAAAAAAACTTGCATTATTTTAATGAGGTACTCTGACATTTAAAAGCCTTTTCTTTTTGCTAATATGCACTCTTTATTTTGCCTAAGAAATATTTTTTAGAAATTCTTCTAAAGTGACACACCTGCACAGTATATTCAAATGACTTCTAATATGTTTTTCTATAAGCAGATTTTTTTGTGCAGATAAACCTCAAGATTCTAAGGTAAATGGCTATATAAGGAATATATTTATTTGGATATTTCCTGCTGTGCGCACATTAATTGAAATGCTTCCATGCATAAACATTGCTGCTTTTTTGTTGGTTTTTGAATCAAATGGTTTGTCAGCACTGAATTAAATGCATTTTTTTTTGCTGCTAGAGGAAGTAAAAGTCGGATAAACTGATATTTTTGAGGCTCGTGCTGGGATTTTACCCTATCAAACCCCTGAATCATCATTGTATTGGTTTAAATCTCCATTCTCCATTCTGACCCCCTGTGTATGTAGAGTGTCTTGCAGATATATTCATACTTTTTGAATGTTTCCACATACTGACTCCTTTCGACAAAAAAAAATTGATACTTTCTATGGGATTTTATATGATTAAAACAAAACAGGATGACGCATAGTTGTGAAATTGAAGCATGATTATATAGTTTTAATTTTTTCCAAAAAAAAAACTAAAATGTATGGCATGTAATGTATAGTTTCCTGAATTAATACTTTAATGAAAACAGAACGTAGTTGAAAATATTCCCACCTGGAGAGTTACATTTTTGTCTGTTGTTTATTACCTTTTTACAAAATAGATCAGTCGGATTAGATGTTTACAATGTATCTGAACACTAACTTTCAGGCATTTCCCCAAACTCGTAGCTGAATTTAAATCTGTACTTTGAGTGGGCCATCCTATCATGGATATGCTTTCCATTCCATTGCAGCTCTGAATACAAGCTTGGGATGCATTCCTTTAAGTTTCTGCTGCCCCTAACTGATTTTCTAATATCTAAAATTGTCTAGCATCTTCTGATCAGCTTTAACAAGTCGATCTGCCGTTGATGCAGAAAAGCAGCCTGACCCCAACCCACACATGTACACTTTCAAAGCTCAGAACAGAAAACAGTACTTGTAATGGTTGTCTTTGAATAATGCCTTCATTTTTTTTTTGTCATTCTTCAATAAAGTTTTGATTTGCTGTGTTATTTTTGACAGGTTCCCCCACTAAACCTGTGGATTTCATGTAGCTTATCTTACAATGGGCCTCTTGGCTGTTTATCTTATTAATGCTCTGTGTCAAGGTTTGTCAGTTGGATCACACTGCTCACAGGGACTTGGGATGAGAATTCTGATGGTTTATATTTGATAAAACATAACATTTGCAGAAAGAAAACAAACAAAAAAAACTGCATGGAGAAGAGTAATAGAAGAGTAATAGGTGGTACAGTATAATGAATCCTACAATCCTTAATGAAGCCCACCGATTTCAAACCCTAACACAGGATTGGTGAATGAAAAAACAAACCAAAAGAGCTAATCAAATGAAATGTGGAGCAGCTGAGGCAGAATAAAGGCAGGGCAGCTGAGGATTGACCTCTACTTAACATAGAGAAAGCCACAACATGCATCTTGGTCTTCCTGGTGTTGCTTGTTCACCAATGTTTTTTAACAACCCTCTAAACCCTTCAGGGAAGAACTGAAACTAAATAAAACACAGATACTTTTTATTTTCTATGGATGCGTGACCGCTTAAAGCTATAGGTTGTACTAGATTTCTTCCAGGGGCATCAAAGTAAAAGGGACTAGTTAGTTGAACATTTGGGGTTTTTATGTACGAGTCATGTGAAAAAAAATCCCACTTCACTGTTGTTCACTAATTTGTGTTGCTCTGTTTCATACAATCCTTATAATATTCATGAAGTTTGTTGTTTTAAAGTGACAAATGGCAGTGTAAATTTATACGATTATAAGGCGCCATGGTGTTTGAGGTTATGTGGCTGTCATCCAAAGGACATTGCAACTTATTCCCTATGTTGAACAGCAGGGGGTGTACTGGTGTCAGATAGGCTGGGAGGTGCAAAGCAATAGAACCCCGTCCATGTCCCTTTCTCTCTTAACCCACCTGGTTTCTTGCATACAGTTTATACTTCGTTAGGCAACTGTGATCATATATCATTACGTCAGAATATCTGCACAGTGTGGAGACTTTCAACAAGCTATTCTTTTTCTTGTAATTGCTCAATTTTGTTTATGTATCATCAGTTACCATCCGCCCAGCACATACTGGACTAAATAAACTAGTGTCTCTATTAAATATGACAATAGAGAGATAAACTTTCTTCAAATGCTGTTCAAGGTTGCTATGATCTGTTGCTCATGGGCGTTTGATTCGTTGGTTGGTGCACTCTCAATCTGAATGCTTGATTCTGTCCTGAACGTTGAGGTTTTCCACTTTGTGTGCACATTGAAAGGGCTCTTTGAATTGTTTGTGAGTTTCAAACAAAATGTGTTCTAGTCCTTTTTGTTTATGGCCAAAAGGACCAATGCACATAAAAGGCACATTATACTATTTGTAGCAATTGCAGAACTAATGAACTGAAAATATGCATTATTTTGTAAAGACTTTTGAAATGTTGTTTTGAAACTAAAGATAAAGAAAACTTACTTTTACCTCATGTCAGGGAATTCCTGAGAAAAGATAATAATTTGGTTTAGTCTATACCAATGGTATTTAAATATTAGCACATAGCTGTTTGTCTTTGCACAAGTACATGTATAGTGCTTTTTCTTTTTCTAAACGGATTTGTGTAATAAGGTGAGAAGATTTTTGTACTTTTTGTGACCATGTGTATGGTTTAGTGGAAACTGTATCTGTCATTTACACCCCACCTCAAAATGCTGGGAATGAAGAGCATAACAAAATATTTTCAAGGTGCACTGTTCCTCTGTTTTGCAGGTTTGGAAAAAAAAAATAAACCACAAACTACCAGTTTACAGAGAAACACATATTCATAGAAACTTTTTTGTTAGCTTTTCTTCATCTTGTTACTATTATTATTATTACTATAACAACTATTAATGTTCAGAAATCTGTATTAAAATAGAAGATGCTGTAAAATATGTACAAACATATGGGATGACCCATAGTAATGTTCTCTACTTGAAAGTCTTGACATTTCCCCCAATGTTTTATGTTGTTTTTTTTCTTCGGTGCAACATCATTTCTCTCAGTAGCAAATGCTTTAATATATATATAATCCCTATAGATTTTGTATAAATACATTTTTTGTATGTTTTCTTTTTTGGCCTTGACTTCATTTGATATTTTTTTCTATCATCATTAAATAAATTTATGCTGAACTAATGTTCATATTTATTTTGAATTACAAACTCTAAATCAGTATGTGTCCATATTACACATTTTTGAAAACATCCATTTCCACAAAACAAGGAGAAACTTTTTTATTGTGCTTCATATACATTTCTGGTTATAAATGAATTTTACATTTCAACTGGGAGCCACTTTATTTGTAGTTATTGTCTCCACAGTAGTCACTGCCTCCGATGCCTCATCTTCATCGTCAAAACTCTTGCCACATAGCAGGAAGGGAACTGCATACTTACGGAACTAAAAAACAGAAATACAGAGCTTATTAAACATGCAAGATCTGTCACTGTGGTTTGTTAGCGAACAAAAGCGATGGAAATCCTTTTCAATTCTTCTTAATAGTTGATTGGGTAAAATTTTCAACACTAACAAAACTTCATTGTTGTATATACAAATTTTAAATAATTTCTATAGCAGGATATCTGTGTTATGTGCATTACCACCACTAGATGGGGCTGTTATGATTACAAAAGAGCAGAGGTAATTTTACCCAAGCCCTATTTCAATAAGCAGGTTTAACAATCTCAGATGGAAATCCTCAAGTCTGAATTGATGTAGCCAAAGGTTGGGAACTCTGTGTTTTTGGTTTCATAAAAGCTGCAGGGAGTTAGTTTAATCAACACTGAGTAGGTCCACTCAAAGTTGACCATATATGTAACAACTATGAAAAGGCGATTATCAGTTAAGAACCTATTTGACTAGTTACTGGTACAACAAGCGACAGGAAGTTCCTTTTTCCTGATTATAAACTAGAATTCTAGTTTACTGTCCGAATGCTAGTGGATCAATGTATTGTATTGTACTTATTTTACATTCTCATGGGGGAGAAGTGCATCTTTCAGCAGGTGAAGATGAAGTATACAAATGTAACAGGTAAAGTAGGACCTGTGCATCATCTCATGGGGTTCTGTGCCTGCTGTCTCTCTAAATACCTGTTGAAGAAGTCTGTAATGCTGCAAATGTGAAGATGGATAAGGTTGTGGATGTTTGTGATGATTGTGAGGTGAAACATTTGCACTTATAAAGATAATTCTTTGAATATTAAAAGGAGGATATCTAAAGCTCTGTGAATGAATGCCTCCTATTCAATAGGACATGCTATGTTTGTACAAAACTACAACAAACTCTCCTGACTGGATCAGCAAATAAAACAATATGATTGGCTTAAATGAGGGAAGAGACAGAAGACACTCTGAGTTTATTGAGGAAAATCTGCTCCCGACTAGGTTAACTCTGAGGAGAATGTTACTACAGCAACAGAGACAGAGGTTGTGTAAAGTCTCTTAGTGAAACCGAAAATTCTGAGTTTCCCAGATTTCAAGTCTAAAAAGTTTTGAGTTTTCAGTAAACCTGCTTTTTGAAACTGGCCTCTGATTTACAATCTATTTATAATCTCTTCTATAATTAAAGCATAGTTTAAGTACCTGTTTATTAAGTAGGATATAGATGATGGGATTGTAAGCAGTGCTGCTCTTGGCCAAGTAAACTGGCACTGTTCCCACCAGCGGATGAATCTTTGCTTCTGGTCTGCAGACTACAAACATGGCCAGGCTGGCATAAGGCAGCCAGCTGATCAGAAATGACAGAACCATCAGTATCACCATGCATGCCACCTTCATTTCCCCTTTAGCAACTGCTCCTCCTTCCACACAGGTCATCTTTGAAACCTGTAAAGCAGAATGTCAGAAATGAGAAGTGTCTGACAACAGGAAGCTCATTAAACGCAGACCTTGAACTGTGAAGTGTCATCTTTATTATAATTAAATCCTACAAATTTTTGATCAGGAGTGGGAGATTGATCCTCAACTTATAGAAGGTAAGAATAAAGATGTTTGAAACTTCTTTGATTATATGTCATGAAAGGCAAAGCCTTGATTTTAAGATTGATTATCATTAGTCCATTCATCAATTTTCTGTCAAGCTTATTCCAAGTGGGGTCGCAAGGGGTGCTGGTGCCTATCTCCAGCTGACTACGGGCGAGAGGCACAGTAGATTGATTATCATTTATGGTATATTATTAGAGCCATGGCCATATTAGGTTTAAAAGCAGGAAACTGAAAATACCACAATTGCAAGCTCATCAACTGCTTCTTCTGCAACCAGTACCAATTTATTTTCAAAAATTTTTTTATTATCCTGCAACAAAAGGAATTCATATCTGTCAGACTTCAAAATGTCTGGCAGTACACTCTAAAAATTCATAGCATAATTTATTAAAAATTTGTTATCAATCAGAAGTTAAAATTGAGAGAGATTCTTGAGCACAATAACATTCTGAAAGTTCTAATAAGAGATTTGTTTGGCCACCCCAGATTATCTGTTCGACCCCCAAAAAATCACCAGCTACAAACCATTATGAAGACATTCATAATTGACAGATTATTGTAAAATAAATCTTATGCATTTACTCAGTTGCTATCCCATAACTACTTTGTCATAAGCCAGTGATGCATTATTTTTTTCTTTAGTTCATACCTTTACTGAGCAAGATAATCATTATTTTTCCCTATAAATCTCTTAAATAGATATAAGCCTTCTCCACCAAAGTTCTTAAGTAAATGAGGCATTAAAACATAAAATAAAAAGATTTTAAACTTAAATACAATTAAATGTTTTTGTGATTCAAAATGTCTCACCTGGTGCAATGTCCACAGAAGTTTTGCATAAGAGATCAGGATGAGAGTGAAAGGAAAAGCAAAACACACAGCAAAGTAAGCAATGATGTAGGAGACGTTGTTGGGGTCTGTGTTGTGCCAGTCTGGTGCGCAGGACGTCCCAACGCCCTCTAACTCATATTTGCCCCATCCAACGAGTGGGGGCAAGTTCCAAGTAAAAGACCACAGCCAGGACAAGACTATACCTCCAACAGCATGCCTCTTCTGAAAGGTTATCGGTCCAAGAGGCTTGCACACCACAAACATCCTCTCAATTGCAATCAGAGCCACCGAGCACAATGATGTGATTCCTGCATGAATGTAGAAGGAAAAAAGTTGGTGTAACTAGTAGAATAAAGTTAGCAGTTCCTATTATGTTCCACTGCTGTGACTCACCACACAAGGACACTGCAAAGCCTTCCATCACACAGCCTGTCCTGCCCAGGGAGAAGTACCCCTGGGCGTTGTTGATCACGGACAGCACCCCCCCGGTCATTGCTGTGCCCAGGTCAGCTACAGCCATGTTTACCAGAGCGTAGTTGAGTGGCTGCCTCAGCTGCTTGTTCATGAGGGACACGATGATCACTGTAGCATTCAGCACAATGGCAGGAATTGTAAAAAAGGCCATGATGATGGAGAGCACGATGAAGCCAGCCCGTGACAAAGGGGGCTCATTCTGTGGACCAGTGTAGAATGAAGCATTTTGTAAAAGTTCAGGGAGCTGCATGCTGAAAAAAAAGAAAAGGATAAAATGGGTCCTGTCCTAGGATTCTTTCACAAGTTGGAGTCTCCAGACCTTTAGTAATGCTCTGCCTGAGTGAGATGACCAAGATAAGACAGTTGGAATAAATCCTTAGAGTCCGGAATTAAGGAAGAGTAATTCCTCGCAATGATTATCCGTGATCCCTCACCTTTTGCTTGATTGCAGGAGGGGTTTAAATAGGATAGGCATCGCTCCATGGTTGGCGCTATGCCAGCAAACTGCTCACAGCGTCAGCAGTCCACTTAAGTAAAACAATGTGGTGCAAAAAAGCTTTATTGCTCCTGACACAAGTTTGGGAAGTTTGATTTGTTTTTTTTTTTATCAGTTTTTTTGTTTTTTTTGTGGTTGTTGTTTTTGTTTCGTTATTGTTCTTCCATACTATACAAATATTTCAGTCTTTTCAATACCTATGAAAGCTAAGGATCAGTTAAAAGTGTAATAATATATCGCTTGTTACGTTATGTGTTTTTTTGAGTAGTGCTTTAAAGAAATTCTTAAAATCTTAGAAAGCTACTGCAGTGTGAATGAAGCATGGCCTTGAAAGAACTCTACTTGTGTGACAGCTTTCAAACTTAACCTGTTTGGACAGGTTAGTGGAAGGAATCTAAAGAAAAAACAAACAAACAATAGATAGCCCTTTCTTAATAATGTTTCATTACAGTAGCATAATTTCACACTGGAAAATTCAATTCAATTCAATTTCTTTGTCTTTTAAAACATTCCTTGTGCTACTTCTACTGACATGCTGCCAATAATACCTTTTGCAACATAATAGGACAGTACTTGGTAGTCTTCCATACAAATGGTAAAGGTTGAAGTTTACAGAAAGAAAGACAACTGACCACCTCTTTCTTTCTTGTATCCCTAAGCTCATGGAGGTTTAAGGTAAGCAGAACTAGTTTTGTGCTGTTTCATCATCTGCTTTGCAACATTATTTTTGCTGAAATATTGCTTGCAATTCAATGTAATGCAGATTCCAAAAACCTTTCAAATAGAAACATCTCCACAACATCAGAGTGTTGTGGGTTATGCCACTTTTTTTACTGCTTTGTTTTATGCCAAACCTCAATACATTTATATTTTCTTTATTTGTAAGTCACTTATAAACAAATAACACTTGATGGAACAATTTTGAACTCTTCCCAGTGGGAGAGGTGGGGGACTTGTGGCTTTGGGGTTGGAGAAGAGTGCCTGTATTGAGAAGACTGCAAGTAACCGGTTTAGACCCCACAGCCTACCACTCTATGTGCCTGAGCAGAACCCCTAGTCCCAGATACAGGGTGCTTCATCCTGTCCACTGCTCTCATAGAGATGGGTTAAATGCAAAGGTAAAAGTTAAATTAAATTTAAGTTTGCAGTTATTCACCCTTATCCAAAAAAATGAACAGGGACCAGTTAAAATTACAAAACTGAGAGAAATCCAGTTATCCTGGAATTTCATCTAAATGTTTAGATGCTTATACTGAGACAGCAGTAGTATTGATAAAAACTACCTTGTATTGTTGAAAAGAGATTTCAAACATTAATCTGTTTATAATATATAGAATTTAATTTGTTTCCGTCTTTATAGATTGAAGTAAAGGAAATACTTTCGTACAAACAGAAGAAGGCATTAAAATAATAAATCTGTATAAATATATAGTTTGTATAAACTGCTAAAAACAGCATAACGAAGGTACACAAAATTGACTACAGGATGTATCTAAACTACCTGATGTTTGAAAGGTTTAGGTTTTTGTGATCTGGTTTATGTATTCTGAATAAAGCTATAAAATAATTTTTTAAAGTTAAAATTAGCAAGATCAGAACAAAAAAAAGAGCCAATAATAATAAACAGAAAATACAGGAACATCACCTTTTGAAATCCCATTTTTTGTATTTCAATAAAAGATATTTAAAAGCTAAAACTGTATAAAAATTAATCTGATCACTTGAAATGTAACTACCTATGCAGTGTTATCCACTGAGTACTTATAGACATGTAAGTGCTCAGAAGATAACTTTAGGTATATGCCTGTACAGAATGGGCTCAGTAGATAACAATAAAACAGGTGTAGGCAGTAAACAATTGCTGAATTATAGACATAAAGGAAAGTGAATAAATCTAATGACACAAAAAATATTTGTCAATGCAAAAGTTGCTTTGCTTTTCACTTTAAGATGATATGTGTTATTTATTTCCTTACATTTGGATTACACTAGTAATCAATAATAGGTCTACACAACCTAAAGTTTTTCTTTAATGCAAATCTTCTTATTTTTTGCTCCAGCTCGAAAAACAAAGTAAACATCCTGGAATTTCTGAGCTGCTGAAGTAACAAGCCATGGGTCTATTTACACAATGCACTGCTCCATTTTAGACCCATAGGGCTATGCTATAAATAAGTATTTACCAAAACAATTACCAAACATACTCTGCAAGTGACTGCATGTATTATATTTAGACTCTAAAGCTCTGAGAATCCCTCCCCGTCACACCTGTCTGTACATCAGTGTCAGATTTGTGTCATGTTGGAGTACTAGCATATAACTCCATCATGTTACCTACAACAGGCAAAAAGGGGCCTGAGTGGAGTAATCCTTGACTGCTGAAGAAATGAGGTGAGGCTAAGCCAACAGATTTAACAAGAGAGCTGGACAAGAGGTGTCCGAAGTTTCACCTTCTAAGAGGTTTATGTTTAATCAAGTCAAGACGCGGATTATAGCTGTGAAGGTTCAACACAGGTTAATGGTTGAATACTGTCTGCCTCTCATCATAAGGCTTTGCTTTAATTACAAAATAAAGTTGTTTTTCCAATCCAGTCATGGAATTCACACACAGACACACACACCTATATATGTCTGTGTGTTGGAGTGTGTGTGTGTGTGTATAGCATTGTTGAAGCAGTCACTGAAATCAGGTGTTTTCTGTAATGTTCTGCAAAAGTTCAGTAAGACTTTTGCAGGTACTGTATGTTGGTTCATTATTACTATCATTGAGGCACTTTATTTTGTTAATAGGACAGTTTCTGTTTTAAATTTTTTTTGGTTTAAAATAACAATTCAAAATCAATATTCTATTTTACAAAATTATAATTTAGTACATTTTCATTTATTATTGCTTTTTTCCATTTGTGTTATCTAAATTACTTGAGTGAATTGATCTTTTTTTTTAATGGTATGTAATGCTATGTAAAATTTCAAGCACAGCTGTAAATTGTACCTGTAACTTTATTGATATGATTTTACCACCAGCATCAATAGAGCATGTAAGTTTGATATTAATCTTAAAAATATCTCAACCATCTAAACTGTTAAATGACAAAAATTAAACCAAAACTGAATTAAAACAATTATATATATATATACTAAAAAATCACCAAGAATAAATTCACATTTCAAAAGTTACTGTACTTAGTTAGCTTACTTAGATAAGGTGCTTCTGAGTTTTCCTTTCTAGACAGAGCAATTGATTGCTTATGAATTGGTTTACATTTTTTCTTATATAAACTTTTCAATATTAGGGCTTGTGCATTTTAACATGTTGGCCTACAGTCTTCTCAATCCTTCCTGGTCACTGCAGGTCACTGCTTGATAAGCCTTATTCTTCAGGAGGATTCCTCTTGATAAGAGGTAGGACCTTTGTTTTACTCTACAACATACCTGCCTAGGGACAACTGCTGGTTACTGAAGGACTTGATCCCATAAGCTAAGCTTCACAGATAACTATTTACCAACTGGCTTTAAGTAAAATGGGCATTGGAGTACAGATAGAGAACAACATATTCCACTGGAAGCAACTCTATAGATTTTAAATTTTGCATACTTAGAAAACTAATGAATGGGATAGATACCCCTCCCTTAGGTCTTTCATAAAGGTTATTAGAGTTATAGTTGTTATCTATAAGATAAGCAACATCCTCTGAAAGAACAGGTTATATTATTGCTGCAGTAACAGTTCCCTAAAAGAGCTCAAAGAGACCCAAAGCTTTTATTAAGAAACTATTTAATTGAAGTTGTTTTTTTAATGGTCACCTAAAACATGATGTAGTTAGTTCTACAGTATATATTCTGGTGAATATGTTTTTTTTTTTTTTTTTAACATAACTGTAAGTATAAATGGAGACTTTCTATGGGCAGAATGAATTTTTTTATTTTTTTTCCATGCATACCATTCTTTGAAGTTTTGAATCTGTATGTTTTTGGCTAGTGCCATTTTCCCAGACATGTTTTCCACAGCTCTTCTATTAATTGTGAACAACCATTTGTTTTTCTTTTCTATTTCATGTCTGTACACTTTAACTTATATAACTTTGTTCTTTTATGTGATTTGGTGTTTTGCACATCTGTCAAATTGTTTTGTCGCTGTCAGAGTTAAAAAAAAAATCCCACTATTAAATATCATTCTACTCAAAAATACTTTAAAAGTTAAAAGCACAAAATAATTTAAAAAAAATTGACATTGCTTCCTTGCCTGAATCGTGAGTGAATTAAGCTGTTCCGTTCAGCTTAAGTCAGAATTGTGTATTCACTGGAACGGATGGCAGTGCATTCAGCACCATGGACAGCTCATGTATATTTCCCAACCTGGATACCTAAAGGAAGTCTACTTCACTGGAACGGATGGCAGTGCATTCAGCACCATGGACAGCTCATGTTTATTTCCCAACCTTGATACCTAGCGGAAGTCTACTGTACATAATTGCAAGACCACCTTAAACTCAGTTAATGGTAAACCTGACTGGGACATGAATTCAACAAATACATTTGTTAGGTTTTACTTAAGAAGTGAGTTAATTTGGGCAGCAATTTCAAAGCTGTCTAAGACTTAAAAATGAGATTTCACCTAACTGCTCTGCAAGGAAGCTTATTTAACAGTAAATTTCAGAAAGTAAGATTGTGTTCAGCATTAAGTGTCGATTAAAGCCTCTATAGACAAATAAAGCAGCCACCCCTGTGAGTCAGTTGCTTGGTTTGCTCAAGGAC